TTGATACATGCTTTTTTTATTTGCTTAATGCTTGGTTAGATCCTGATAAAAGCCTGTCAGAGTTTGTAAATCTCACCTGTACAATTTATTTTCTCTTTTTGTGATTCGGCTGTGAAAATAAATAAATCTAAAATCTAAAAATCTAAAATCATTGGTGTCTTATCTGATCGTCTTCTTCACCTCTCTGAGGACTCTTCTGGTGTGTCATCTGTTCAACGCACTCTGCTCTTTCCTTCTGTTCGCCTCTCTCCTGTCTTTATCACAAGAAGGAATTGAAGGAATCAGGAATCTCATTTTTTAATGTGGTGATTAGATCATAAACACATTCATCAATTTATTTTGCACACAGACTCAACAAATTATTTGAACACACCAACCAATTTCAGATTATACAAAAGCAAACTATTATTGCACTTTTCCATCCCATGGAGCCCAAATAATCATCGCTGCTCATTATATGGGCTAACAGTCACACATCAGAGCAGTCCTATTGGATGCCAGCTACAGCCAATATTCAATGCAGCAAAAGATGTACATCAACCAGCATTCAGTTGATATTTATTTACTGCAGTGCAATCAGTGGATTCTGTGCTCTTTCAATCTGATAATGTCTATCTTCACGACCTCATCCCTTCCTGTGTGGTGCTTCTGTTCTTCTGGTGTTCTGTCTCTCTCTCTCTCTCTCTCTCTCTCTCTCTCTCTCTCTCTCTCTCTCTATTTCTCTCTCACATGCTCACACAAAATGCGCACCTGCCAAGTAGTGTGAAGTAGATCTGCTGCTTAAATGACACATAGAGAACCTAGGTTTTTGATATCATTTTGAACAATATCATTATTTTCAAGGGCTTTAATGCATGATTGGAATAACAGATGAATAGATTACCGGATCTGTTTTTTGAGATCTGGGACTATTCAGTAAACATTCTGATGCCCAGGCCAAACGACGCCACTGTGTGCATGTGTGTGATATCCAGGAGTTGCACCCTGTTTTGTCTGCATGTTGACACATCAAGAGACAGCTGATGTAAGGCATATATATATATATATATATATATATATATATATATATATTTAACACTGTATATAGCACTGTATTTATTTTGCAAATGTACACACACACCTTTGTATTATTACTTCATGTCCTGTGTTTATATTGAATATATTTTGAAAATTCTTTGCACTGCCATTGGAGTTGGCTCTTTAATCTCATCGTACATGTGTACAGTGGCAATAAAGGCATTCTATTCTATTCTATTCTATCTAACTGATTATGCATTAATAACCACACACACTTTGAACTCTGCCAGGTTATGTCTCACTGCTAAATAACTTCAGCACTTTAATTCAGTTGCGCTTGTGGGCTCCATATCTAACTACCTAAGTGTCTGTGCGTCATCTGAAAGATAACAGAGAAAACATAAGGTGGAGGACTCCACTTTCAGCCTGTTATGATAAATGAAGGTAATTATTTTCTTCTATTCTGGGGAGAACCTCAAGAACTGCTGGGGAAAAAAAGGCTCACTTAGCGGTCACACGCGGGGAAGCTCGGCTGTAATGTCTGGATCCCATTATTTGTTATCACTCGGGTACCAAAGTGGGGTAGACACAGGAATGGAGAGCTGAGCTGAAATTTCATATGTGATTATGTCACGAGGAAGACTGGATGACCCACAGTTGTTACACAAGGTATTCTGCCACCAAAAGTTCATCTGAAATGGACACAGTGTGTCTATCAGCAGCTACGTGTCCTGTCTTAGTGCCCTTGAGATTGGTACATAATCTCTTAGTAAGTGCATTCCCATTCACCTGTTTTAATGCACATTTTGCATTAAACGTTGTGAAGTAAAAAGGTTGTTGGTGACATTAAACATCAGCACACACAACACAGAGACATATTTACTCACTAGTCTTTACAGCCTTGTACTCTTGCACACTATTCTCAACCGGTACAACTCAAACTTTCCAACCTGTAGATTTTAAATACGAGATTTAAATTCAAGTTGGAAGTTTAGTGGTGGTGACATTGATGTCAAACAACTGTGGTGTAGTTTGTTTATAGATATTCATGGTGCTCATTTGTGAAGACTATCTTGCTGAACAAAATGTGAAAAGTATCATAAACCTTTGTTCGCCAAAGAGCTTATTTTATGCAAAAATATAAAATCCAACAAGAAAAATCCCATTAGATTTTTGTCAAAGAAACCAGGATGATGCTAACTTCTGGGTTGGCCTACAAAAATACATCATCACTGCAGCTCTCTATTGCTGATGAAAATTGATCATCCAAATTCCTTTTTTTTTCACTATTTGCTGTATCTGGCTTGTTCACCCGGAGGTTATAGCAACTAGAGGCTCTAGGTTGGCGCATTGTTAGAAACATTTCAGATAATAATAAGTACACAACTAAACAAAATATATACAGTAACAAGCATTTTTAGACATTTTAATATGGAAATGTTAGATATTATAGGCCCATCTTTAAAAACGTAGTAGACACTGGTTAAAATATTGCAGAAAAAGGTTTTTACAGTTGGCGGTAAACGATAAAAATGGAACATGACAAAGTGCAAAGTTTATAAAACATAAATGCCATATTTCCATTATGTTTTCTACATGGTTTTCCATTGTTTAAAGTTTGACTGGTGGAAACACACAATAATGCACAGTTTAGGAATTCTGTTAAACTGTTTGCTACATTTGGAGGAACTTGACTGTTGTGAGCCAGCCTGGAAAAGAACATTAGTTTTATACCTAAAATGAAAATTGAGAGGGTGATACTTGCTTTGCACTTTGCACTGTTAGATTATAATCATCTGTCTGTTAAATATACCATAATTGTCTGTGGCTCCTAGTTAAAGGTCATTACTAATCAGAGATTGGTACTTTCCAATTAATCATGAGGGTGAAAATATTTCATTATATATCAACAGTGTGTTTTTTTTGTGTCATTTTTACTTTAAAATGACACGTCAGTTGACCAGTTGATTCAAATACAATTTGCTCATTACACACATCAGAGTAAAATAAAATATATTTCCCTTGATATGTTTCAGACGATAGGAGCTCAAGTTGTAATCACAAAAGAAGCCACTTATATAATATTCCAAATACCATGGGTAAAACAGCAAAGTAGTGGTGACTGACAGTAGCAAAAAGAAAATAAATATGTAAGTGATCAAAGTAAAATAGTACTGATTATGATGACAGCTCAGGGGATTTGCCTTTTAAATAAGTATAAAGAATCTTAAAAAGATACAATAACAAAGATCTCTCTAGACTTAAATTATTTATTGGCTTGCAACAATTACTACTGCTGCTGTTACTGATACTGTCACCTCTGTTAACAAAAAGGTCAGATGAGAAAAACCTCAAATTTGCAAGCAAAGAATGTAAAAACTAGTTAAAAAAAGAAATATGTTGTAGGTTTTATGGGGACCAGGTTGTCCTACAGTATGAGGAGAATGGATGGCGCACTGCAGGCAGTGTGTGTTTAGTTTACTTGAAGAGTCAGCATGAAACAGACCAAACACACAAACACAGAACAGTCAGATCAGGTCTGTCAGATGTTGCACTGAGCTCTAATACACGGAGCATCCTATGGCGACTACAGATTGAAACACAAAGAGAATTTTTATGTTTGTCTTGTTTTTGCAGTTTGTGTCCTTTCACTACAAATACCAACTGTACAGACATTTGCTGGACAGCCCATATTTTCCTTCAAACCCTTCTCCCTTTTTGTCTTGTCTACAGCTGGTATTTGCAAATTTGCAAACAAATAATGTAAATGTAAAGAATGTCTGTTTCGCTTGTCTTTTCTGTCACAAACATAAAATCACAAAACAGAATGTTCAGATCAGGTGTGTCAAATGTCTCTCTGAGCTCTAAAATTATTAATATTACATAGTAACCTGAAGCTCCTGTTTGAAGAGGGACCTTGTGAACCCAGATCTCATTGAAAACCCACAATTAAATGAACCTGGGTCTTGGAAAACAAATAAAGAAAAAGGGTCATATCATTATGTCATTGTGTTTTGATAAAGGTCCATTACATTTCTCCACTTAACCTCAAATACACAACTTTGTGAAAGATACGTTTTATTTAAATTGGTGTTTCAGATGTGTAAAACATGAGTTTGCAGCCATTTGCTTTTTATTGATTTGTTTTAGTTGTTCTATGTTTATTCTCTTTCTCATACTGTAACTGGTTCCGTTCCTTTAAGTTCCTAGCCATTTTCATTCCATCCATTCATCCTTCTTTTCACTGCCATTACATTTGACTTGTTTCTATTGTGTGCATTCATTAGAATAGAAGTGAGTTAAAGAGCTATTTAATACTTTCCTCCTTCTTTTTGATACTTATATTTTGATACTACTTGATCTCTGCCTAATTATTTAAAAGGGATCGCCTGAGGTCCCAATTCAAAACCCTTCATAAACAGATCCTTGTGTTCAGGCTATTAGTTTCATTTACAGTTTGACTTTTGCTCTTTTGAAGAGGGATTAAATAAAAACAAACTTCTAATGCTCATTTATGTGCTGGTGAGCTACATGACTTACAGACCAATGAATTCTTCACATGAAAAGGATGCCAAAGCAAGTTTTAAAAACTTTTTGGTGTTCATTTGTAATGCAAGAAAGGGTGTTTAGTATCAAATAAACTAAGCCTTAAATTGCATTTTTAGTCAAAAATCATTTGTTTAGCCTTTCTAGTCTCTTACAGATCTATTACAAGATCCAACCTTTACCCCCTCCCCGACAAATCCGACTTTACTGCAAGTTCAAGAAGATCACTCTCAAAACGTGCAGTATCAGTGACACACCTTATCTTTTTCTTCCGTCCTTCTGAAGGCCTACAGTAGGCTCTGTGAGGAGTGTGTATGTGAGGAGACTCGGCTGTTGCATGCTGAGTGATGACGATGCCGACATAACGAAACCCACGCACAGTTCATTTAAATGCCCGCGCACGGCTCTCTCCCAGCTCGTCACTGTGTCTCCCGTTGCTCTGTATTTATAAGGCGCCCCGGTGCGCGGAAAGGCACAAGCGTGCCTCGTCTCTAGAGAGGCAGAGCGCGTCGCTGTGACTTGGAGACGTTTTTGGATGAAAAGACCTGTGCAGCCGCTGCTGAGGAAGAGACGCGGGAGCGCAGGAGTTTTATCCCAAGTTCACTGCGACTTGCTCTCAGGGGTGAGTTGTTCTTCGTCGTTTTAATGTTCTGTGCTCGGTTTATTTATTTTTTCTTTTGTTTCTGTGGGAAAATTAGGCTGCGCACTCCCCCGGTGGATGATGGATGTAGAAGAGCTATTATTGAGAAAAGATGGAGCGGTCCCGAACTAATGTGCAAACGACAGGATGTATTTTATTTGAAAAATCTCTTTGTCACACAAATTACAGGAGTTTGCAGCCACAGTGGCGTTGCTGTTATTTTTATTTTTGGCCAAAAAGTGTCGCCAGAACTTGTTGCGTTGGGAAATACCCATTAAATCCAGGCTCGGTGGGAACATCTTGTGCATTTTTTTTGCCGATTGCATTTAGGATAGCAGTGCAGGACGACACCAAACTACACATTTTAATAACTTGTCCTTGTTTGTTAAGTCCTAAAGATTTTTATTTTTTTGTAACATGTAACATGTAAACGATGCGTTTTAATGACATTTAAATTCCATCATTCCGTTTTGTTTGCATGTTGTGGTAGATTGGTTAGGCCTGCTGATTTAGTATCAACACGCAGTTCTGTAGCTGCTTATTTGCTTCGTTTGGTCTCTGCACAAAACAAATCAGAGGGAAAGGGAGTTAATGCAGAAATGTGTCACCATCTGGTTGATCTGTCTTATGTTTTGTTGTCGTAGCGGTGGTGAGGAACTGAAACCTGTCCTCCAAGTTTGTTTAGTGGGTGTTGCACTATTCATGGCATAAACAACGCCTATCAGTACATGCCCCTCGACTATACTTAGGGTATGAAGAGCAACCCGTATGGCCACACAATTGCTATAAAAGGGCCCTAGGCGGGTTGTCACTTTGTCTGTCACTGATTATAGGCTACAGCATTGGTATTATGGCAAAATCAAGAAATGTATGTTAAGTCGCCAGCACACAAATATAAAATATGTGACAGGTGTTTGCCTCCATAGGACCATGTTTTAACGCAAATGACAGACTAGTGTAGTTGCCACGGAAGGAGTAAGAAACAAGAAATTCCAGAATTCAGGAATTACGTCCTATAAACGGATAGCTAACAAGTCGTTCTGAATAACTCTAACTGTAGATATTGATTGATAATGATCGGCTACAATTGTCTTGATAAAACTGTTCATTTAGCTCTGAATCAGGTGCATGGTATATCACCAACAACTCATCTTTGCTTGCTTCAGACAACAGCTGAGCTTGTAGCTCATGGCAATGTGATAGTCATCCTCACCAGAGCCAGACACTGCAGCACTTACAAAAAAAAAAAAAATTTGAATCTTCATATTCAGAGCACATTTCCGTCAATATTCACATCTGTTATTGGTAATTTCTCATTTTGATAGGGTGCAGCTACAAAGAGTGAGGATTAAAGGGCCGCCTATCTGAGTTATGCCTGTGCCCCAGGACACTCAATCAATATTTATGAACGTGCGCCACTTTTTTCCTAAAGCCACCAGCTGAAGACCCCATGAATGTGTCATTTCACCGATATGCAGAATATCAGTGGACGTGGAGTCGAATTGGTTCAGCTATGTGACTTTTATACTTGCGGCCAGTACATGAATGTATGAACATTTTCGTGACTAAGTCAGCACCTCACTTTTTGAGCTCTGGGGAAGTTGGTTTTATAGCAGCACACCTCCACTCAAGGGCATTCCCTCTGATTTCTTCTCTGTTGGGAAGTGTTTAAAACAAACTACTCACTGTTTCAGAGGAGCAGAAATGATAATAAAGAAGTGGAGCAGCATTCAGAGGCAGTTTGTGGAGGCAGAGCGCTGACCTTGGTGCTGAACGAGTCCCGCTGAACGCCAGCTCCAGCTGTGTTGTTGGTTTTGACATAGTGTATACCAGGCGACGCCACCCACGCGGCCAGATGGACCGGTTTCAAAGAACAAGTAACACGCTTGCATCAAAAGGAAGTAAAACGCATTATTGTAGCATCTGGCAAACGGCGCCGTTTTTGCTCGTAAAGTTCATTCCGAGTGCAGAGACAATGCAGCACACTGGGTGAAGCAATAGGGCTCGATGAGCGGAGAGATCGGCTTTAGTCTTCTTGCATGCCTTGCTTTTGTTTTCGGCTCAAAAGTTGAGTTGTGATTATGCAAAGAGGGGTGCAAGCAGGATTTGTAATTGGCGTTAATAAAATGAAGAGGCAGACTGTGAACTGTTGGCATTATTGCACTTCAATAGAAACATTCCTGGTAACATTCCTGCTCTTACAGGTAATCCTTCCTACGCAATATTAATAAAGTCAGTTATTTTTAACATCTCAATCCTTCTCTCAACCAGTCACTTCCTTGTAACTTAAATTGGGAGAAAATTGTGGAAAATAAAAACTGGAGAGACAGAAGTGGAAAAAATACTCAAAAGTAAAAGTAGCAATCTTAGCATGTACAAATATTTTGATGAAAGTCATCCTGTCCTACACGCTAACCAGCACAAATATACTTAAAAGTATCAATAGTAAAATGCCCCAATGATATTAGGCTATATGGATTATTGTCATTGATGTATTACCATATTAACTGCTATATGCTGTTGGGTGGTTTGAGTTGCCTGTGCATCATATTTTATAAACTGATCACATGTTTTTTCCATTTAAATTCTTAATCTACAATAACTATAGCTGGTGTTATTTGCCGTCATTGTATAGCACAGCCGAAGATTAACAGGAAAGGGAGAGAGAGAGAGAGGGAGATTGCGTGCAGCAAAGGGCCACAGGTTGGATTTGAACCTGGGCTGCTGCGGTAGGGGCTCGGATTTGGTACATGTGGCGCAAGCTCTACCAGGTGAGCTACTGGGGTGCCATGTAACTATGTTGTGTTGTTAAATAAACACATCAATAAAAAAAGAGTTTAAAGTACAAAATTTCCCTCTGAAATGTAGTGGAATAGAAGTATAAATAAAATAGCTTAAAAATGGAAATACCACAAGAAGTACCACAAATCATTATCAGTATCTAAGCCAATATTTGCCTTTGAGACATTACAGTTTGAGACAGTGTTTAGTCACAGTGATGCCAATATTGAGGATCACAGAGGTACGAGCAGGTCTGATCAGGTGGTTAATATTTTTCACATCTGTGACAATATTTTGCAAGTGTAGCTCAACAGGAATTAATTATCTGTGTAATATACCTTCTGAAAACACTTAATGACTCATATACCCTCTTTGACTTATGTTAAATCAGCACACTGTAAACAAATCATGCAGCCAAGGTAATTTCCTCCAAAACTAATAGAACTTCTATTTCCCATCCTCCCTTTCCTTCTGTTGCTTTCCAGAAACATCCCTGGGGACACATATACTCACAAGCAAGCGCTCACACGCAATCACACAAGACACCATGCAGGAGTCAGAGCCCACAGTGTGCCAGCTGCAGCCCAACATCATCTCAGTGCGTCTTTTCAAGAGAAAGGTTGGCGGTCTGGGCTTTCTGGTGAAGCAGAGGGTGTCCAAGCCACCCGTCATCGTGTCTGACCTCATCCGTGGTGGCGCTGCAGAGGAGTGCGGCCTGGTGCAGGTGGGCGACATCGTCTTGGCAGTCAACAACAAGCCCCTGGTGGACCTGTCCTATGAACGGGCCCTGGAGACGCTGAAGAACGTGTCACCCGAGAGCCACGCCGTGCTGATCCTCCGAGGGCCCGAGGGCTTCACCACCCACCTGGAGACCACCCTGTCTGGAGATGGCCGCCAACGCACAGTGAGGGTCACACGCCCTGCCTTCCCGCCCTCAAAGTCCTACGAGCACTGCTCCCCTCTCAGCCCATTCGGCCCTGGGCAGCAGCAGCAGGTCAACAAGGATCCCCAGCTCAGGGCCATTGAGAACCTGTCCTCTCCGTCCATCACCCAGTCCCTCCTGCAGAGGGCAGGCGTGCAGGCCCAGGACCCCCTGCTGATGAGGGATGGGGGCCGCGGAGCTCTCCTGTGCAACGGGCTGGAGGAAAACAACGAACTGCTGAAGGAGATCGAACCAGTGCTGCGTCTCATCAAAAACAGCAAAAAGGAGATCAATGGAGAAGGCCAGAGGAATGTGGGAAGAAGGGACGCTGAGATTCAAGTGGCGTGGTAATTTGCAATCTGATACTACCTTATTGATCCCTTAGTTTAAATGTCTTTGTGCTTGTTCCCCTTCACAGTGTGGGTTGGAGTTAGAGCCCAGGTAGAATTAGAATCAGGATTTAGGTCAAGAACTCTTCAACAAGGTGGTTATTAGCTGACACAAGAGCCTACACCTGGCCCTCTGATTAAAAGAAAGTCTCCCTATTAATTTTGTCACCTTGCAGTCCCCAAACTACCTGACCCAGCTGTGTTGCATTAGTTAACACAGCCAGGCTCTCATTCATATAATATGACTCAGTGTACAGTGCCAAGTAATTGCTGTCTGCATGCTGGTCTCTAGCGAACCTCAATTAAGATGAAATTGCTCACAACATTTGTCATGACCATTACTGTTGCTATTCTTCCATTACTGTGACAAATGTCTAATGTAGGTCCATGGAAACCTCTTTAAACAAACAATGTAGCTTGCCTTTGGTCATTTTTAATACTTTGAATGAAGCTTCCTGGTTTTAGGTTGTTTGGCTGCATATTTGACCTGAGATTTCAGAGGATGATTTGCATGTATCAGAATATCATTGCAATGTGCCTTGATTTGAAGTTTTGCTTCAGTTCACATATAAATGTTTTAGGATAGACAGTTCCATTCATTAGTATTGATGTCAGTTCTCATATTAATGAGCCATAGTAGACCCCAATTAGCATACTGCAACACAAAGCCTGTCATAAACTTGTCATCAGACCATTCTTTATCTGCTTGCAAGAGAACAAAACTTCTTCTGAACAGTCCCTATTCATTATGGAGGTCAGGTACAGCAGTTTTTCAGCAAGCAAGTAGTTGAGAAGTGTGGAATTGGCAGCAATTCGGTATATGAAACATGTCTCCTTTTTAATATTTAATGAGGAAGACTCACAAATGTTGCACTTAGATTGCTTGTTTGTTTTAAATGTTCACTACTGACCGTTTTTTCCTAAGACTGAGCCAATATTCCATCCTAGACTCTGTCTAAACGGTCTGCACCATGTACTGTTGATATTGACGTCTCAGTTATCTGCTGTTGTACTCCCAAGGCCAATTGAAATCAAATTGAGGCTACAGTCTCTATGAATCAATATCTCATTCTTGGGCAATCCATGCACATCCTCCTCTCTTTCATAAATACACTTTGAGTGATTCATTGCATTCTAGGGAGATGTGCTTTGAAAAAAACCTCAAAGCATGAACGATGAAGTCTTGCTAAAATGGCCTTTCTCAATGGGGGAACCTCAGTGCCCAGAAATGTGGTTTTAAGGCTATAGACGATCTAAAAACATGCTCACATTTGGTAAGCACAATTAAGGAGACATCTAATTTAATTTTATCTTCTGTTTTAGCTCTGGAAGAAGACTTTCTGAAGAGTTCAAATTAGAAACTATCAAGAAAGGAATATGATCTTATTCTAGGCACAGTTGTGCAATAATATCAGTATTTGCTTGGAATAAGATGACACATTATGACTGATTCAGAGCAGAAGCCGTTACAATTTCACAATTCAGCACAAGGCTGATGATGCTCTATGTCAGCTTCAGAGCTAATGAGAAATGGCACATACAACTTATCTACATGTTTCTGCATGTCTGAACTCCACCTCTGAATTGTGGGGATAAATATGCTCTTGCAAATTGCAGCAATAAAGAGATACAGTGTGACAGGGAGTGTGAAAGGGAGAAGGGATGCCTGTGAGGATTTACAATTAGCATGGACGCGTGCACATGAGAAAAAAGGGGGGGCTGTGAAAGACAGTAAGGGGCGATATGTGTGTGGGCGTTTTTCAATTGAAGAATGCAAACTTTAAATCACACGCCGATGGTTTTTCCGTGTTTATTCATGTCTCGTGTGGTTTGCCACAGGGATCTTTCCTCCCCCCTTCTCCTTTAGTCTCTTAGGATCATACAGTTACAGCTCAGAGTGAGATTTATCACTGTTCATATCCTGTTTTTTAATCTTTGGGGCATGAATGGCAGCTGTTTGTTCAGTATATTGTTATATTCAAAGAAAGACAGAAATCCAATCTTGATTTGTCATTTGTTTGCACCATATATCTTTTTAAAATACCAAATAAGATTCAGCCTAAATCAATATTTGGCCATGTTGTTACCAACCTAAATGAAGAGATAAAGCCAAACAAGTGAGTTTGTGACGAGAAACCTAAATATTGTTTTAATTTCCTGAATGAACTTGGAACATTTATGCATGTATTCAATGTCAGTACACCTTTTTCAATTAACATGTAAGTCCCTTTTTACCCCTTCTCACTCACAGCAGGTGTTTTCTTTTTAGTTTTGTGGTTGAAGCCCACTTCCTGTCAGAATACAGCTAAAGCAGAACTGTGGCAACAAATTGCTGAGGACACACAGGAGCCAGTTGTCCCATTGCAGCATGGCAACAGGTGCAAATAAGTAAGACAGGAGAGCCTGATAGATGCCAGCCAAGCTGGCTACTGTCTACATACCCACTAATCCCCGAACAGAGAAAACACCTATGTGGGTGTGCAGAGCCTTCAGAAATTGTGCAGGGATTCCTTATTTAACAGCATTTTGGAGGGTGTACAAGACTATGGGTTTTTTGTTTATTTTTGTAAAGAGGGAAACAAGATTTTCATGTGTTTGCATGGTGTGTGCATGGTTTGGCTGGGATTTTAACGTGAAAGGAATTATTGGGCCCACATGTGAGAACACACACCTGACAGAAAATTGTGTATGACTTGTAGGGACCTTGGCGTGGGAAATGGCACATCTCCCCAGCTGGCCTCAGATAACAACAGAATGCTGGAAAACATGCCGGTGGTGTTCAACAACGCTGACACTGACAAGGTAAAATAAAACAAATGCTCAACTCTTGAACAAATTTTGAGTAAAAGAGATCATGTGTAAGCAAAAATGTGTGCGACTCTACTCCCTCAGATCAATAACTTGAAGATCCTTTGACCTTTTTTCTATGTGTGCATGTGTTTGCAAGTGTTCATGAGCAGGCTTGCTAAGTTAGTCTCTGCAGTTGTGTAATGCATGTGCATCCATGGCTGCCTTTCCCTGTCTGGCTCTTTAGCCTTGTTCAATAATCCACACTATTAGCACTTTCCATGCTTTCAGAAATCGAGCACACACATCTGCGTTGCTTCTTTGCACATAGTAGTAAAGCCTTTGCTTAAGATCCCATCACCTAGGCATTAGATCCTTCCGGGGAAAAGCTGTTGCAGCAATAAATCCAGCTTATGCCTTCCACACAGAAGGGTCTGGTCACAGGTCTGAGTGTCTGTGACAAGGATAGTGTCGTAATCTGCACATGGTCTGCGTTATCCACCCACTTGTGACGTTGCACGAGCCCCCATCAATAGGACCGGATGGGGCGAAATGATTCTAGGAGGCATAATGAATGCGTGCAGCTGCTGATCTGTCTCTCTCCATCAAATGTGGCCCCTGTTGAAATGATCCAGCCCCTCAAACCTGCAGAGAAGAGAATGTTAATGTGCATGATTGTGAGAATATTTGTGTGAGAGTGTCGGAAAGAGGGGGGGGGGGGGGGTTGTGGGTGATATGTGCTTGATGGCGATTACAGAGGATATGCATGATGATGTGATAAGAAGCCATATGTCTTTCCTGGTTGTGTATGCCCAGACTGGAGAAACCTATGCACTTCTGAGAAGGTGTCTTTGGAAAGTGGAATCAGTATATGTGTCCAGTAAATGCATGTGTACTGATTCATGCAGCAAGACGTTCCCCTGCAGGTGTTTTGCTAGAAACTGATGCTACTTTGATGGCTCTTTGCTAAGTGTTTAATACGATAGTCCTAAATCTAAGTTCATAAAATAAGCATTAGTGTAAGGGTTTGATACTTGATATTGAAGTATTTCAAGTGACATGTCTATGGCCTGCAAATTAGTTCTCTCACTTTCATGAAGGATTGTCCATGTGCCTCAAGCTTGAGCTGCTTTTGAATAATTTAATGTTTAATAAGCTTGCTGCTAAGGAAAGGTGCGAGAATATTCTGTAGAATTCCACCAGCTATTGAGTTGGAGACACCACCTTTGATGATCCATTGAAAGCAGAGAATATGCCTCCATGCCCCCTTTTATACATGTGATGGCTTAATCATCACTGAATTAGATGCCATTTTTCAAACCATAAATTTACTTGTCTTAAAAAACATGACTAAACCATTAACGAACAGCATCTCTTTCCATTTTGCAGACTGTCTGTCTCACTTTCTTCTTTTTCTCTCTTCCCATCTACCCCGTCTTGCGCTCAGCATCTCCATTTCCCATAAATTTTAATTGATGGGTGAATGAGGAACTTTTACTTCATAACTGCATTTACCAGAAAGACTTTGGTCATTACGCCCCATTATGAAATTATCTTCATCAGATTAGCCTCAATTATCTTTATATCTAGCTCCATGGATGTTCCCCTCTGTTACATCCACACCTTATTCTTGTCATTGAGGCCTGGTGATTGACTCGTGATGGGATTTACACTTGCTGCAAATGTATGTGTGTTTCAGCAACTACTCTCAGTAATATGGACTGCACAGAGGAGGACTGTGTAATTAAACCAGGCTGGACTTGCTGTATTAGCAAACAAAGAGACAAAGAATAATTTTCTGTTTAATTTTGTCACTCTATGAGATGCCTACTAAGAGTCATAGACCTTTTTGTTATTTATTTGTCTTGTCCGTTACGATAAGTCTTGTAATGAACTATTTCCTACTCTAACACTACTGTTACTATGCCAGTAAGTTTTCGGTTCTTGTATGTTTGTATGTATGTATGTATGATACAATATTAATTGAAGATTGATGGGAAATTACTAACTAATTTAATAAACTCTAATATCATTTGTAGCTGTTGACTGCCGAGAACACTGGTAAATGTTGCTGGCAGATTGTACCAGCTGTAGATAGCTAGCTAATTAAGCTGACAGTGGCTCGATGAGTTGGTTTAATGCTTTGATTTTAAATCCTTTGGGGAAATACTAGACAGTGGATATTCTAGTGGTAGGTTTTTGTGTTGTTTTTTGTTACCAAGAAAGTACTATTGTTGACATTAATGATGCCCTCCTTGGTTTGGAGGTAAGTCTTGGTTACTTACTATTATACACAGTTGTCAGGTAAGAGCAAATAAACTCCCAGTTTAATTCATTTCTTTGCTCTTGTAGTTTTGTTGTTTGAAATGCAAAAAAATAAAAACACTAGCTTAAAAACTCCTTAAATGTCAATATCGCTCTTAGCCTCATGCTGCTATTTCCGCCAGTATAGTATCTACAAATATCCGACAATGGAACAAAAAAGCTGGTGTGCTTTTTACTGATGCAAAAATTACCATTCAGCCGCTGTACAGCTGTTAGTGATTGCGCAAAATGATCATGATAAGTAACGGTGCAAAATTTCAATTTACTGGTCATTATTGAGTAAACCTTTGAGGGTTTGTTATATAGGGAGTAAAGGAAAGAGTGACCAAGGAAGGGATTGTGGACAAAGCCCTTGACAGGCCTGCTGTGCCTGGTTGCATTGGCTGTGAGTGGACAATCACTGAATGGGGGGAGGGGTTAAGCAAAAGGTCAGTTGGACCATTAGTAAATAATTAGTCATCATTTATTAGCTGACCTTGATCTCAAGTATGTTTTTCAGGGGCAAAAAAGATATTTGTCCTTTCAACAGTGACTGACATTTAAGATGTACATCATTACACACGTATCAAGAAAAAAGTTAACTGACATTTACAGGTTGTTCATGTGAACAGATTCTCTGAAACCTGCATGTGGCATTAATAGAAAAAAGGATTTTCTTAAATGTAAATGCCAGAGCTATAGCTTCCGGTCAGTGAGTGACAAGCCTAACATTCATATTCAAATACACAACCGCTCTGCTTTTTATGTCAACAAGCCTTGAAACTCTGCATCTGATTTTCATTGCCTGTTCGACTGAGATTCTCTTTACGGTACAATGATCTTTCTTCCTGTCCACAACCTCAGTGATAACAATGTGTCATATCTGAGCTGCACGGTGGGGGTTACTGCTGTTGGAGCATGAACACACAGGAAATAAGCTCTTTACTCTCAGTGTGTGCAAAATCAAATTCAATTCAACCCTCCTCATTCCTCTCTGCTGTTTGAGAGGACACAAAATGACAATGAGACTCAACTGGCGTGACACTGTTGGTATTCATCTCCCCGGCGAGTATGATGATCGTGTCACTGTTGTTCAGAAACTGCTTCACTGTACGATTAACAATGCTGTGGGAGATGATGAAAGAGCTTCCAAGGTGTGGGATTGATTACTCTGATCTTAGGCAATCACTTTGTGCCTTTCTCTAGGAACGCTTACAGTTGGCTTTGGGGTTAAATTGCAGGCATTCATCAGTCAATAGCTACAGTATTGGAAAACCCAGTGAGCCACGAGTTAGCTTGCCATCAACCTGCTGTTAAATGCTGATTGCCTTTATCCCAGAGTGTGAAATAAAACAGAAATGGAAGAAGGAGTGAATTTAGGTGGTTCATCGTGCATAAGACTGTGTGAGAGATTTTAAGCACAATGACAAACTGATTTTCCCAGACAAAGCTCTTTGCCTTACAATGGTTGTAAAAGTCCTGTTAACAATGCTTCCAGATATAATTCATTTTATTCCCGTCTTAAACTTACCAATCTATGTCCAATTTTGACACTTGAATCCACTCCCCAACAGCGGGACGACTGCACTTCTTTTCAGCTTTACTCAGTGTGACTCCCAGTCATAAACAACTTAACCACTTTGCACCAAAGGTGTCACAGAGGTCAGAACCTATTAGTCAGACACAGTACAAAGGCACAAAGTCATGACTCATGTATAAATGTCTATGTGCTCTTTCCAGCCTCCTGCCCAGGACAGGTCCTCACCCACCAAGTCACTGCAGAACGGCAGCCCCTCCAAATGCCCCCGCTTCCTTAAGATCAAGAACTGGGAGACTGGCACCATCTATAGCGACACACTCCACCACAGCTCCAGCAAGGTAAGGAATATGGAAATCAGTATAATCAGTGGTTGGATAAAGCAGTCTACTGCAGCATTTAGAGTAGTCGCTGAGGCAACCATCCTGGCAAGGATGAGAAAAATCTTGATGTAATTATTCAAGTCATCCTATAATATCCAGGATTTCTATGTCAGTGGTGAATCCAAATTGAGGCTGTGAGGTGCTATTGTTTTTTCATGCCTTGACACCTTTCACTAAATTGAAGAAGAACTAAAAGAAACTACTTCACCAAGTGGCCAGAAAAACAAACACCTGTATGATGCATTTGTAATGCAATACAACAGGCCTCCAATAAATATAACTTTATTGAAAATTTTGTTGAGGCTACTTTAGCTGTCTGCCTGTTGACTCTAGGGCTGCAACTAACATTATTATTTTCTCGCTCAGTCTAAAGTATAAAATATATATATATATAAATATATATATATATATATATAAATATAAAAGAAAACAACTAAGTTCCTAAAACCAAGCGTCACATCTTCACATTGCTTGTTTTGTTTGGCCAACAGTACAAAACCCAAAGAACACAAAGATATTTACTATCACATGAGATAAAGAAAGCAGCAAATCATTGCAATTGAGAAGCTAAAACAATAGAAAGATTTGGCATTTATACTTGAAAAACGACTTAAGCTCTAGTTGATGGGACCATAGAGTTGAACTAGCATGTATGACAAACACTATTTGAGTTTCACTAGGTCGGACTGACGTATTGAATCACATAACAATATTCAGGGTTTCCTTTAGTTCTGGTCACCAAGTAAAAGTAAGGAATTGGTTGCACTGTAAGGGTTTAAAAGCCAAGATTATTGAATTTGATAATCCTGCATTTGAATCAGAGATGATTTATTTAGTCAAATAAAACAAGTGTACAAAGAGTTTGACTCTTAACTCAGTGACACATCACAAAAAGGGCAAACACGATACCAGATTTCCATAAAAGATGAGTTCACATACTAATGAGACAAAGGGATGACAGGAAGACGCCCTGTGAGTCCGCCTTTATATAAAATCACAGACATGCAATGCTTTCATACTGTAGGTCTACTAACCAAGGTGACTGATATTATGTCTGTGGCTTTAATGATGTCTTAAGGGCTCCAATGAAATGCATATTGTTTTACTGGAAAAAACATTTAGCCTACAGATTTACTAACACATCATTTGCAAGTCAAGTAGATTGAAGGATAATAGCACAGTGTGGTATGCCTTTTCTCTGATTCTTATTGACTATTCGTACATTAGAGAGCTTTTCTTTAAAATGTTGGCAAAAAGCTTTTTAGCCAGAAAGCAGGGAGTTTGTGAAATCTGGGTAAAGCTTATGAAACCTCAAATCCTTCTGAAAGAAAGCAACAGATCACTGATGTACCGTATTGGGACAGCTCACATGGTCCTGCAGTGACTCACATGCTCATATAAGCAGTCAGCATTTTCAGAAAACAGCAAATGTGACATTTGGTGGATATTTATATCCTAATTGCCTAATATTAATGCTACATTCATACATCTGCAGCACGACTATTTTAACAAAACAGACCCCTCCATTAACCCCTCCATCTTCAGCAGCTACTTCCACACCCACTACAGGAGAATGGCATTCTGTCCCACATTTTGTGTGGTAAAATCAAACAGGACATAGACTAGACCAGCTAGCAGCGGTGTAAGGCTGTGCTAAGGCAAAGCGATGCTTTGAGCTACATACTAATTATCTGCATGTGAATTTGATCATTCTGAGCAACATGCAATGTTAAGTAAGTTTTCAATGTTCTTTATCTTATTTTATTGTGTTAGCATGCTAACATTTGCTAATTAGCACTAAACAGAGAGTACAGTTGAGGTTTATGGAAATGTCATTAGTTTTGCAGGTATTTCGTTATAAACCAAAGTATTAGGCTTCATAAAAAGTTGAGCTGATGATTGTGCTTGATGTAAAAGAGGATTACTAAAGTTATTACAATTTGTTCTGAGGGGAAGTCTTTACCAAATGCGATCCCACAAATGTTAACCTCAGACCAAGTCTGTAAAATTAAGTACTGTAAATTGTGTGTCCATGCCCTCCAGAACGAAACCAATGCCAATATGGACAAGGCAACATCACTGTTTAAAAAATAATAAAACAAATTTGGTTATGGTTACAGCAAGATCATGATTTAGGTTAAAACACATACTAGGTTAAGACTAGAAAGACACTGTAGTTTGGGCTAAAATCACAACTTGGTTAAGTTTAGTGGACCTTTGTTGTCATGGTTACAATGCTAACACTTGATGAATGTTCAGGAATGATCGTTTTCAAGAACTCAAAGTTGATTAGTGGTTGGAAACAGGAAATTAACAGCAATCCAATGTTTGCATACCATCCACCCACCCCGAATCCTTTGCTCTTGACAGACAACTGTCAAATTAGTGCGGCCACAAGAGAGCTTTACGTAACTTTAACGTAAAGATAATGTTTTGGGCGCAAAATGCTGTGTTATTTTCCAACTTTTTCTTGGGAGGACAGTCTCTACATGGTAAATAAGGTCATTTCCTAAACTTTGTGTGAAGGTAGAACACCAGAAAGCATCAGCTACATGCAAATACTTTGGTAAGAAAATTGATTTCTCATCCCCGTTCATCTATCAACTGCTCTGTCCACGCATTTCTTCCATTTTATCATGCAGCCAAAGTTTCTTCCTCTAGTTAGTAAGCCAGTCTAGCACGCACAAAGGTGAACCCCGCTGTTTAAGCATTCACCCCCCCAAAACACTGCAGCCATTCGTAAACAGCAAACAGCAGCCTAATTACTTCGGTGACTTATCGGACAGGCAGTGCATCCCAATGAATGGCCTGTAGTAGCATCTTCAGATTTATTATATATCACAGACGCTGCTGTATTCGAGAATGATCCGTCTTTTTCGAAAAGGACAGCTGGCTGGCATGAATGCCCAGAGCGGTATGATGAGCGGACGTGCTGGAGCACAAGTGATTCCTTTGTTTTATTTTTAACACTCCCTGCTCTACTCATCCATTTCCCCCTTTTACTCTGTCACCTCTTACTGTTCATGTTGTTCTGCCTCAGCTTTGTTGTTCCCTCTTGTTCTCAATGATCTTTTCTTCTATCTTTTTATTTGCAATTATCCCTTTATTTTTATCTTTGTTTGCACTTTCTCAGATTCTCACTCAATTTCCTTTCCCATTTTCTTTTGTTTTGACTGGCAGTGATGGTGTGTTTGCTGTCTTGTTCAACAGATTTTTTCTGTTTCTGTCGAGTGAGGGTTGGACTTGTTGGAAGGGACATGGGGGGAAGTTTGTTTTGGACAGACTGCCGGTCCACGTCTGAGTGTTTGGACAGTGCAAGTGTGTGGTTCATTTGGTGTAACAAGCCAATTTTAGCAGCGCTGGGGTCATTGTCAAATTTCCTCTTCCAATGTATGCCTGCGCTACTGTTTCTGTCATCCGCTCTTGCTCACTCATTCAATCTCTCTCTAAGCTGGTGAAGGCATTTAGGCAAACCAAAGTGACAGCTGACTTCAACTCTAATCATATTGAACTGACCACACAAGGTTGCTCTCAGCTATGAGCACTTTTCTCTCTGCATCTGTCTGTTTTCTTATTTTCTGTGTTTCCTCACTCTTTCTATCTTCCTGTCTCTGCTTAATGGAAGGATACCAATCCATGACTCATGGACTTACTCATTCATTAACATGCGTGCCAGCCGTGTGTGAGCAATATAATGAAAACTGTAAAACACTTGATCCCTTGTAAGTCTTGAACTTACAATGTAAATTAACTTATTAGAAGAAATGACTATATATAATTATTTTATTCAAACCAAGTAAAACCTTTGGAACCTTTCACATACTGAAATACAGGTTTCTCCTCTTTTATTCTTTTATTCATATTGACACCTTTCTGTCTTTTATCCTAGGAAAGGCCGTGAAATCAAAGTAATTTTTGGTAGCCCTTGATTTGATGTTTTATATGGTTATTTTGCAAGAAAGTATAAGGTAAATATATATTTTTACACAAGGTTGGCTCCCTGAGCTTCTTCTTCCAAAGGACAAAAAAGTCACTCTTATTATGGTTCAACAGTTGAAGTTAAAATAGGAATAAGAAAATGTAGGAAAATTCTATTGGAAATTTTTAATTATTCCATTTCAAAAACTATGATTTAAGCATGTCCTATGTCTGTTTCAAATCAAGCAGAACCTAGACTTAACTAGTTAATCTAAATGAATAGTGAAAGAAGGTGCTGTGATAGCCCTGCCTTTTGTAAATTAAGTGGATGCCATGCTTCTCTCATTTTGCATTCAGTCACAACACAGAGATTGATGCAAAAAGCATTGAACAGTGAACAGGAATCCTGAAGGCCACTTCTTTTGAAGAATTCTTTGTCCAATAAAATTAATTAACACCTATATTTTGTGTGCCGAGGAGCCAACATGGTATCTTCTGTTAGTGTTATTTTTTGCTTCAAAGTACATTTTGTGGATATTTGCAGAGACATTACCAGATAATTATACCATATGATTATATACATATCATTTTGGCACTGAAGAAAAAACAACAAGCAAAATTCATCCCTATAAAGCCTCCCTCATCTGTCATGTAATTTGTCTTTTCAGATGCCAATCTGCAGCGAAAATGTGTGCATCGGCTCTGTGGTGATGCCCAATCAGCACGTCCGCAAACCAGACGAGGTCAGAGGCAAAGAGGAGCTTCTTCCATTGGCCACTGACTTCATAGACCAGTACTACACCTCCATTAAAAGGTAGCAGAAGTAATATCATTGGTATATTAATGGCTATGCAGTTCTTATTTAGCTACATATGTAGGGTGCGTAATGTAGAATAGCATTTAGTGAGCGTTATGCACCTCCAAATCCGCCTATCTGCTCTAGGTTCAACGTCTGTGCTCATTAATTCTCAAAGCCTAATATACCCAGTCCACTCAGCCTCTCTGTCCTGCTGTGCTCCTCAATTTCAAAGAGATTGTGATAGAGATTGTCAAAAAATGCCGAAAGACTAGTGATTAAATAAAGTAGATGCAACCTTTATTTGAGTCCCAGTTTAGACTGGGTGTCACCACTCTGGACACGTGCCTGTGGCTCCTTTCTTTTTCTCCATTCTCACAGTTTATCATGACTTTTTCATGTGACTTAAATGTAGCAAACTATAATACTTGAGATGAAAAGTAATTGAGTATAAGTAAAAATGCTGTAGTTTAAAATAATTTTTAAAAAAGTAATAAGTAAAAAAAAAGTCCATAATAAATAAAATAATTACTTTCAATGGCAGCTACCCTTAATGTGTTAGATATTTTGAAGATGATATGAATGTGACAGACCCACATTTGTTTATGGGATTACAGAGATCCTTACAAAATGGCACAATTTTACAACAGGTACCTCTTATGTTGTGCTATACTGTGTGTACATGTTCTCTTATTCTGTTGTGCCTGTGGACCTGTCCTGCCCAGGTATGGCTCTAAGGCCCATGTGGACAGACTGGAGGAGGTGACCAAGGAGATTGAAGCTTCAGGAACTTACCAGCTGAAAGACACTGAATTGATTTATGGCGCCAAGCACGCCTGGAGGAATGCTGCCCGATGTGTAGGGAGGATCCAGTGGTCCAAACTACAGGTAATGTACAGTATCTAAACTAAAATCCGCCATAGCGTGTGGCATGTGTAAATGTTTTCAAAATAGATTCTATATTACATTTGCAGTTTTGTATAATATCCAACATACTCAGAGACGTAAAGCACATTTGGTTCAGTTACTTGTTTTAAAAATACTTCATTATGCATAAACCTGCTTCTGGGTTTTCATTTTCATGTTTGCTTTCCAGGTTTTTGATGCTAGAGACTGCACAACAGCTCATGGAATGTACAACTACATCTGTAACCACATCAAGTATGCCACCAACAAAGGCAACCTGAGGTAAAGATTCATGTGCACACTGGGGATGTCAACAAATATTCAAAATTTGATTATATAATTATATAATAATTAATATTGACTGGGGAAAAAAAAGATCAGCACCACCACAGATGTCTGCCTCGCGGGTTCTCGGGTGGGCCTGGGCTGAATGCACTGCTTGATGGATAGGTGTCACACATTGTCCCTTTTACTGACTGAAAATTAAATATAGGTCAAGCTGAAGTGAGCAAATAATTCAACAAAAACACCCACGTGGTGGTGAGTGCACAGTACCATTGAATGTTTGCTTTCTACTGTAACTTAACTATTTATTTTGTAATGTGTAATTATGTAGATGTAAAAAGCATGTTTATGTTGTTTTTAAAAGGAATAAGGGAATGTCATTTTTGGACAATTTCTAAAACACATACACCCCAAACACACACAATGCTCAACTGTTTAGCTAAGTCTGGTTTCCTTTTGTTCAGTTCCTCCAACTGCACTCACGTATCTCATCGCACATGTAGTCTCCATCCCTGACTACCCTGACTTGACCACCAACCGCGGACCCACTCTCCCATCTGTCAGTGTGTGCTCTGTCTCTTAACGCTGCCTCTGACACTATCTGCTGCCTGTCTATCTGTCAGTGTCTCAGCCCCAATCATTGCCCCATCGCTGAAGCGGTGGACCTTGCTAACAAGCAGTCACTTGTCAGACCTGCACAGCACTTGCTCACTTTCTGCCAAGTCCTAATCACATGTGACACTTCATATTTACTTCTTGGATGATGGATAGCTTCTGACTCATTACTACGCTTAGCCTGGCCTTCGGAAGGACAGCTCGGATACACATGTTGACGAGAGCCAGCACAACATCCTGGCTGCGCCTCTCTCAGCCTGGCTGACTTTAACATGAATAAACACAGACACACACACACACACACACACACACACACACACACACACACACACACACAAACATATAGTGCTATTGCAACATTTTGCAATAGTTTTGGAATTATTTTGCTTATTCAAAGTCACCTGTCAACATTACAAAAACATATTCTAAGAGATGGTCCTAAAATGATGCAAAACACAAGACTGTAAAAGTGGTAGATTTCATGGAAAAGATTATGCCTACAGTGCAGGAAAGAAATTGTTTCAACTGAGAAATGATTATGGAAAAAATTGTGAAATTGTTATTAGATTTCCCTTTTAAATTGGCTCATCAATCATTTGCTAATCCTTTAAAGTGATATAGTGAGTCAGCAGTGATAAGAATTGCTGGGTTTCCAGGTTGTGATAAATCCCATTGGCTGGTGTATATGCTTTCTATTTAGTAATAATGTTGTTATAAATGCTTTGGATTAATTAATAAGTTCACATTGGGTTCTCATTTTTGAACAAGCCATTAAGCCTTCAGTAATAAATGTTAGTATGTCATAAATAGATTTTGATCTCGATTGACTAAAATATATGGTCAATCAAAGATCAGAGGGAGTTTTCACAACCTGGAAACCAAGACTTATAGTGGCTTATAACTGATCAATAAAGCATTATTAAATGATTTAATAACAATTAATAAAGCTATTAGTTACAACTTATAACTTCTTTGTAAAGTGTACTATATTAAAAAGTGGTATCAAAATCAAACTATATCTGCAGAGGAATGTGAATGTTACTTTTTAAAGCATGTGGCCAATTTAGAACTCGTGATTTAGTTATAATGATAATATTGTTCAGTAGCCTAATAACATAAATTTTTTGCTCTGTTGCACATTATATGTTTCCCACAAGATGACAAATGAAAATCGTAGTGTGATCGTACAGGCTATTGGTTTCACGATTTACACCAGTTTCCGAAGCCAAGCTGAGAAACTGTTTCCTGCAGATGTAGACTGCTAGCACAACTGGCCCAGATTTACACCAGCTGCTCTCCCTCCTCAGCGACTTAGAACCGGCTTAGCAGTATTAACACTTTTACCCGGTCATGGCATTAAAACACCACTGGGATGTAGAACAGACCAAAAGTAGCTAAGCTTTGACCCTGCTATGGGTCCTTTGACATAACATGATTAAAAATGCCTTTGGACACAGATTACATGCACAATACCAACCATATGTTTACAATCTTGTCAATTCATTTATTTAAATATTCATAATAACGATTTATTATTAATGCTTTGTCGCACAGACTCTTATTTCGTTAAACAGTATGTGCAGAGATCAACATGCCACTGAAGATACTGCTGTGGCACAGCTCAGAATCGGATTATATTGTGTTTTTTTTTAGATATGATATTATTATTAAAGCTAGTAACAACCTCACATATGCAAATGCTGTGAATATCTATACACATTATTGACATTTTTCTGTTTGTTTGTTTCAGATCGGCCATCACCATATTTCCCCAGAGGACTGATGGCAAACATGACTTTCGAGTGTGGAACAGTCAGCTGATTCGTTATGCAGGCTACAAACAGCCTGATGGACAGATCTTGGGAGACCCTGCTAATGTTGAATTTACTGAGGTAAACAAGAGGAAATGTATTTTTAAGTCAATGAGGCAAACTTGCAAACGTTCACTGTAAGAAATGCCCATTTTGCACTTGTTGCGTTTGGTCTCTAGATCTGCATGCAGCTTGGATGGAAAGCTCCCAAGGGCCGTTTTGATGTCCTGCCCCTCCTGCTGCAAGCCAACGGAAATGACCCCGAGCTGTTTGAAATACCTGAAGACCTCATCCTGGAGGTGCCGATCACACACCCAAAGTGAGTTACGCCTTCCCTCTTAAGCATGCATACATAAAGAATCTAGCAAAGCAAGAACTGGTGGAGGCTGCACAAAAAGACATCCACCCACTCACACATCTCTTAACAACACTTCTTAAACAATGGGGCACTTTCATGCCAAGAAATCTGATTGGGTTATCGTTGCATTCTAACTGTGCTGAATATTCCCAGAAAGCACAGCTAGCCATACTTTATCTGTTGCTATGCCTGCTTTTGTGGTAACCATGGGGCTTGTTAGCGCGATTTCAAGCTTCCTCCTGTTTTTTATTCTGATTTGTTTACTTTACTTTCAAGAAAACTTTTTATTTACATGGGTAGCTACTGTACAAAAGCCATAATGCCCTTGAGATGTTAAGCATGAAGCGGCTGTATCTAAAACCCATAATCACAGTTAAGAATTGGGTATTACCACTACACTAGTTTTCACATATACAGGCACAGATGCAGACAGAGCTATTGCTCCATCACTTCACACCACAGAGAGCGTTTCAGAATCCCTTGACACACTGGTCTCCCTGCCAGACTCCCCCCAAAATTGGCATCTCTTGCTCCATACCCTGCATCAACTGGCCCTCAGCCCTGGCAGCAGCTTGGCACAGGCCTGCGACCACCAACAGTGTCTCATCATTACACAAGATTAGACCCAGCTCTGCAAATAATACACTGAAAGTGATGTTATCAGTCCCCCTAGAGGGTGCAAGGAGTGAGTGGTGGGAGGTAATTTGAGGTCCTGCCTGCTCTGTCCAGCACTGAAAATCTGTCATAAGTGGTTTCTTTGTGTTAATGTTGATTTTGGCTGCACTCCTTTTTAATTATGTGTCTCAGGGATTAATATCTGTGCTGAAAAAGACAGTCACAAATTATTATAATAATGTGTGCCTATTGCAAATGTTGTTAACAAGGCCCGGAACCCCCTTTGACACTGACTCTTATACCCACCCTATATATATGCATTACATTAATGCACTCCCGTCTTCTGTACAGTCTTCTTATCTTTTCTTATTTTTCTTATCTTTATTTATTCATATTTTTAAAAGTACTTTATTCTTGTGTTATTTTTGTGTGATTTGTATATTTTTGTGTGATTGTACATTTTAAGCACCATTGCACCAAGACAAATTCCTCGTATGTGTACAAACCTACCTGGCAATAAATCTGATTCTTATTCTGATTCTGATGTTGGATGTTTACCTGACCTCAGAAGGGATCATAGTGAATTCAGTTAGCCAAAACAGCTGCACTTCCCACCAGTCATTCCCCTTTTTGCACTGCCCAGGTACGAGTGGTTCAAGGAACTGGACCTGAAGTGGTACGGCCTCCCGGCAGTCTCCAACATGCTGCTGGAGATTGGCGGCCTGGAGTTCACTGGTTGCCCCTTCAGTGGCTGGTACATGGGCACTGAGATTGGCGTGAGGGACTTCTGTGACACCTCACGCTACAACATTCTGGAGGTAGTGCGTTGTGCCAAAATACACAGAGTCATGCTCCACTGGAAAAAAATCAGAGGCACAGATTGACTGAAGCCTTGTGCAGAGAGGAGCATGTGTATTGTGTCACCAAATGACCCGATCAGAATGCCATTCTTCTTCTAATTATGTACACTTAGGCGAAAGCTGACAAGAAATAAAGCCCTTTAACATAACTTATAGTGTTCATTTTAATATTAGGGCAAAAAATATTCTAATATATATATAAGAAGCTGCTCATATATATAATATATTCTATATAATCTATATATCTGTTATTTTATTCATGTAATCATATACCATGTCTTTATATGTATTTGAGGCAAATGGAACCGTAAGCTGTTCTGTGGCAGCAAATACCTGAATTTCCAAATTCTTTAAGAGGATATGAATATTATTTTTGATATGGCATATAATTAGGGAAATCAGACTCTCTACTATCTTTGAATATATCTTCAGGCAAATAAAAGTAAGGGTTTCCCATCCTAAAATCTCAGTTAAAACCTGAGTGGTCCAATTGTGAAGAAGAGCACTTCAGGGTCCATGGGTGTCAGCTTTGGTAGATTTGCCTTACAAGTAAAGTACAGACATTGTGCTTGTCATTGCTGATAAGGAGAGATATTTGCTTGTGCAACGATTTGTTTTGCATGAATTACTTGGTGAATATGAAGACAACCAGTTCCCTGAAGTTTAGCCACTGAGGCACAACATATACAACTAGCGACTAGATGTACTACTGTGATTTAGTTTTTATGTGTTTCATAACAAAAAGACATGAGATGAATTGTGCCATTACTTTCCTCGGGTGTAATTTAGTTGTTTTACATGTGGTACATCATCTTTTTTTTTTTTTTAAATGTCTTATTATGTAGGAGGTTGCTAACAGGATGGCCTTAGACACCAGGAAGACTTCCTCCCTTTGGAAAGACCAGGCACTGGTGGAGATTAACATTGCTGTTCTCTACAGCTTCCAGGTAGATACAGCTTTATATGTTTCACCCTCTTCCTGTTCACTTCTGCAGCATAATGTATTACTCCTCTGTCCATCTATTTGTATAATCAGTATGTTCCAAACACTCACATTCCTACCAAAATATGGGAAAATATGTTTGTCTCTTGTGCAGTTTGCTGTTTACTCTTTGTCACTCATGAGTCACAACCAATTTAAGCAGTAGTAAAAAATATTTCCAATGGAGTATCCATTTAAATGTAATTGAAAATGTGATAATTTATTTGTGAAATGACCCCAACTTTCATCAATGAAACTTAATTGTACCATTGTTTTCACTGCAGCATCAGAGAAAATGCATTAATGAGTTCATTCTTTGTGTCCCCTAATTTTAGTCATGCAAAGTTACCATAGTAGACCATCACTCAGCCACAGAGTCCTTCATGAAGCATATGGAGAATGAGTACCGGGTGCGAGGTGGCTGTCCTGGAGACTGGGTGTGGATTGTGCCTCCCATGTCAGGAAGTATCACACCGGTTTTCCACCAAGAAATGCTCAACTACCGCCTCACCCCATCCTTTGAGTACCAGGTGAAAACATAATTCATGGGATGTTGATGTTTTTAGCAGAGGGTACCACCACAATCAAAGACATGCACTCATGTTTATAAACTAGTTGAGCTATAATAAGCTATTACTGAATATTGCCGAATATCACGGACAATATCTCAGTATCTTGGAACCTAAAACAAAGACAACCTCTGAACTCAAATTTTTTTTTTCCCATATGCAAAAGCCTGATCCCTGGAATACCCATGTGTGGAAAGGAGTCAATGGGACGCCCACAAAGAAAAGAGCCATCGGATTCAAGAAGCTTGCCAAGTGAGTGTGCAGTCACAGAGAAATATTAGAAGAAAACCCTGGTTGGTTTGGTTAAATTAGAGATTAATTAAGTAATTTGTTTTCTATCTGCAGTTATACTTGCAAGGTTATATTGCAACCTTAGATGTCAAAGATAATATACTGTAGGACATGTGTATGTGTATGATAATCTAAAACCAAACAAGTAATCACTTTCCTGAAAAGTTAGACACACGGGAAGAATGCTGGTGTACTCAGCGGTGAAATTCATCCAATCAACCCCTCAGGGAGTAATCAAAGCTTTGTCAGTGTTTTGTTTGTTTATGCATGCACTCGTGCACGCGTATGCTATTAATATAATTGCCTTGAGGATATGACAAGCTAGGTAATCACAATTGTCATCCATCCGCTACCTCGGCATAATGTCTGCTGCCTGCTTAAGTGAACCCCACTACCCTCTATAACAATTGTTTTATCAGACGTATCAACATATCGGCAGAGGATAAAATGTTGCAAGCTTTGGTCCTTGGATAATTTGATTGCTTGTCCTGTGTTTTCTGTGGACCTCATTCTCACTGTCTCTCCCTTCGCTTCTGCAGGGCTGTGAAATTTTCGGCCAAGCTCATGGGCCAGGCCATGGCCAAGAGGGTGAAAGCCACTATACTGTTTGCCACAGAGACGGGCAAATCGCAAGATTATGCCAAAACTCTCTGTGAAATCTTCAAGCACGCTTTTGACGCAAAGGTACAATTGCTCCTACCTTGCATCATCTTATCCAAAAGTTGAACATCAGCTTACATGTAATTGTACTAAATTCCTATACCCCCCACCCCCCCAGCTGACGAAGCCAAACAGATGCCAGCTGAGTACAGACGACGAGAGGGTTGAAAAAGAAAGTGTGTCTTTTGTCACATTTTCTTTTTCTCTCATGCAGTAAAGTGCCGCGGGTTGGAGGCAAGATTTAACCACCGAAGCGTTGAGCAGTTCAGTAGTTTAACACAGGATCCTGAAGCACCCCTGGCTGTGCATATCTGTTTAGAAAAGAGAGAGAGAGAGAGAAATGCTAAACATGCTGCTCTCAATCATACACTGTGTGCTTTTCCTCCAGGTCATATCTTATTTTTCCTTCCTGTTTTCCCAGTGTGATCAATCATACAAGAAGAGATTCGTGCATGCAAGTGTGTGGATGTGTGTGTCACTTAGAGTGGGTGTCTGTAGATGGATCGCAGGGCAGATGTGAACGCCCGGGGCAAATCTTCATTGTTGTGGGGCTAAAGCCTGTTTTCTCTTCACGCCTTTGGTTGTGTGTCCTTCTATGTATGTGTGTGTGTATGTGAAATGCAAGCACGTTCTGCGGCAGCCAAACACCATCACGTTGAGTGGTGTGCATCGTGGATGCTCGTCGTGTGGCAGCAGCATATTATCATCTCGTTAGAGGCGAGGACAGAGTGGTCATTACAACCTCCTCCTCTGCCAACGGCTGTGTGTTCAGCCTTAATTTACACGCTCAAGTCATCTGTCATGTGGAGTGTGTGTCTTGGAGATGAGAGCGAAACAAAGGCTACACCATGTGTGTGGAGGCGAAGATTCCCTCTGCATTATGCTCTTTTTTTTTGTGACATCTGCAGGTCACGTCAATGGATGAATATGATGTGGTGGACCTGGAGCACGAGACGCTGGTGTTAGTGGTGACCAGCACATTCGGAAATGGTGATCCACCTGAGAATGGAGAGGTATGTATGTTATGTATCAACAGCTCCAGTTTATTAGCAAACAAAGATGCACAGGTTACTAACAGCCCTTCTTTGGTTACTGTAGAAATTTGGAGCTGCCTTAATGGAGATGCGCCACCCAACATCCAACACAGAAGATAGAAAGTGAGTTTAGTCCCTCAGCCTGCCTGTGTTTGCATTTGTGCGTGTCAGATTCCATCTTTTTCTTCCCTTGAGTTATACATCCTCTGCTTTCACCTCCTGTCCAGGAGCTACAAGGTCCGCTTCAACAGTGTGTCCTCCTACTCTGACACTCGCAAGTCCTCCAGTGACGAGCCAGAAGCCAAGATTAACTTTGAGAGCACTGGACCTCTCGCCAACGTCAGGTAAACAAAATCAAACCAGAGCAAAAAAATAAAACTTATCTAAAGAATGCTTTTGCTATTTGCTTCCGTATTAGCTTCCGTGTTTCCTGTAAAAACAGGCAGCTACGGAATGGCAATAGTGCTGAATGTGCATCCAATGCCGACAGAGGCCAGCTTGACAACAGGGAATACAGTACTGAGGTGTTTTTTCCCCCCAGGTTTGGTTCTTGGCACACTGGCTTATTTAGCTAACATTAACTATACAAGCAAACTAGTTAATAGAGGCTAACATTACCTTTAGTAGCAGTCAATTTTAGCCAGTCCATCAGGGAACTCCATATCTCGGTACTATTGTCGTCAAATTGGCTTCTGTCTGTCTCAGAAGCTGTATTTGGTTCAAGTCCAGCCGATTTCACTGGGAGGCTGCTGAGCCGTTGCACACTAAGGGCACCCACAGCAGCAGTTAGTGGAGTTGAGGCAGAGCAGTCAGAGGACATCAGAAGGAAAACAACTGAACATATTTTCTCCATAATATATGATCCAGTTTCACCCAAATCACTGATAATGTTGTGTTTTAAAGTTTTCTACAATAATCAGTGATGACCAGACCCCCAGAAACACTCTGTTCTGTGCTAATGAATTTTGCTGCTAAAAGTTGAAGATTGATTGGTGGGTGGGTGTCATGGAATTATTGGTTGAAATGGGTTGGTTCACGCTTACGTAAGCATGCGCTACATTTTATTTTACAGGAAGAACAAATTATTGGATTTCGATATAAAAATACAAAGAAATAGATTTGTTTGGCCTACATTGTTGAATAGGGGTACAATATGACTTTGGATGTAATCTTAAAGGGTTATAAATTCAAGTCATTTTTCATTTAATCTGGACTTTAATTTAGACATACAAATGTCTTTTTACCTGCAAATCATCAATCAGGCACACACTCTCATTTCAATATTGATTTACTGGATGAATAATGAATATTGATTTATTGTATGTAGAGGAACAACACAGAAAATGAGCATTTTGAGTATCTCTTTTAATGTAACTCATGTAACTCATTCAGGCTCTCAGATTACTAGTAACTAGGCTACTATGTTTCTTGCATATATATTTTTTGTCACAGCATAAAATAGTTAGATGCCATTGTTTTGAAAAAACAGAGCCACGGCCTCGCTGTGAATTTGGAAACTGTTTTTGACAAACCACTTTGCAGCACACTTAACTAGCACATTTTTCAACAGTTTTGTACATTTCTCAAGGTTTGTAACTAGTGCAAAAAGAAACATAATGAAGTAAAGTAACAATTTTATAAGTATATTTGCCAACAATAGTTTTCATCACTGATTATAACAAGTACAAGATGTAAGGACCGTGAGGTTTAGTTATCTTTTATACCAATCAATGATCTAAAATACTTTTGTAAGATGCTGGCATCATGCTTAACTAAAGAATATCTCCAAAGTTTCTATTTACTTTTATTTGGTGAATTGAATTTTAATCCTGACACAGTATATAGAAGTGAACTGTTTGTTAAACGTTTTTGTGATGACTAATCTTAATTGTAGAGGACGGTTTGCTGACCTGTTCAAGAACAGGAGCCCACAACAATTTGGCTCAAAGTTGAACCCGAAGTGCTTCAAAGCAAGGCAAGGGGAAGCATGTCCGCTCTCAGAGAAGTGATCTATTTCAAGTTTACATCTATCTAAAACTGGACCGGACACGTATTTATCAATACGTTGGCTGTTTTGGTGCTTCGGTGTTTTCGGTGTTTCAAATCTCTAAGTCTCTAATGTGGGCTCCGTGGCTGTGGTGTCTACATTTGTCTTTTGCTTTTTTAACGCTACCTGCCTCTCTGTCTCTTTCTTCTTGTGTATGTTTTCTCTGTTTAGGTTCTCAGTGTTTGGCCTTGGCTCCAGGGCCTACCCACACTTCTGCGCCTTTGCCCACGCTGTGGACACGCTGTTTGAAGAGCTGGGAGGGGAGCGCATCCTACGCATGGGAGAAGGAGATGAGCTGTGTGGCCAGGAGGAGTCATTCAGAACCTGGGCCAAGAAGGTTTTTAAGGTCGGTGTCATGGGCAGAGACCCTTTGCTCTCGGTTTAGTTCAGTTTTGTCGATCATAATGGTTTGGCGTTTGCTTTGAATAGGCACACCATGCACATGCACCCGTTTTCTGTGCAACCACAACAGGAAAGTACCTCACACTCCAAAACAACCCCACCTGTCAAGGTATCATTTTGAAGGTGTTTAGCCATAGGTAACCTTGAGCTGGTGGAGGCAGTCCTACTTAGAGTACAAGAGATCATTTCCCAAATCCTTTGTTATTCCTGTGTGGGTGTGGAAGGGCGTTTTGAATAATGACCGCGTTCTCTCCTGTGACTATGTTGTTACATGTCAAGGCTGCCTGTGACGTGTTCTGTGTTGGAGACGATGTGAACATTGAGAAGGCCAACGACTCCTTGATCAGCAATGACCGCAGCTGGAAGAAGAGCAAGTTCCGCCTGACGTACACAGCCGAGGCCCCGGCCCTCACAGAAGGTAAATAATAATCCTGTAAGAAGTAAGTGATGAGCTGTTAATGGTGTCTTGATATTAAAGGGGCAATAAGTACTAATAAGCACTCCTGCAGAAAATGATCATAATATACCTGCGGAGGGATGGTAATATTATTGATCAAGACCAGTGAGTCATCCTGGAGATGAGATTTGTTTCTCTGTTGTGGAGTGAAAAATGACAATGTAATGGGATTTCAAGACCTTTTTTACTCTAGAAGTCCTGAATGCCATAACATTACATTTACTACAAATATTGAAAATGAATAATAGTTTATTAGGTGCACCTACTATATCTTAAACTAATACACAACAGTCCTGTAATAAATCCAACTTTCATGTAGGTTATAATGTTTTTGTTGAAACAGTTTTAGAGAGGTGCAGATTCAACTTTATGATGATTTTGGAGGATGTAGTTATGGTACTGTTGAACTGTACTCAATCATACAGATAGCTGTTTCTTTTATTTAACCTACCCTCACTGATGTACATTGGTGAACAAAGTAATAGAGACACCTCTAAGAAATCAAATAAGTGTATTTTTCAAAAGCTGGAACCTTAATTAAAGCAAATATAAGATAATCTTTTAGACCAGTCCCTAAATAAAGTAAATGTCATGTATGTGATGTAGTTTTGTTTCTGTCTGCCAACAGCATTGTACAGCGTTCACAAAAAGAGGGTTTATGGAGCAAAGATGCTAGAATCTGAAAACTTACAAACTTCCAAATCCAAGTAAGTATTTACTGACACAAGAAAATAAAAATTGGGTACATATATTTTACTGTTTTTGGTAAACTTGTGTGTGAATTAAAGGGAACAGAAAATGGTGCAGCATTGTACCCTAAATCTCTTGTCTCTTTTGCAGTCGCTCCACCATATTTGTGCGGCTCCACACAAACAACCACGACAGACTGAGCTACCAGCCCGGCGACCATCTGGGCATCTTCCCTGGCAACCACGAGGACTTGGTGACGGCTCTCATAGATAAACTGGAGGATGCTCCACCTGTCAATCAAATTGTCAAAGTGGAGTTCCTGGAGGAGAGGAACACTGCCCTGGGTGGGTGATGCTATTAGCAACGTCACACTACTTTACGAATGCAGTAGGCGTGCAATGAGAAGGGTTGTGGTTTGAGATGTGGGCAGGATGTCAAAATCAAAACATGAATAAAACATGTCTCTTGCCTCAAAAGACAACATGAAGTCACACTTATCTGTGCAAGGTATCTATGCCCAGATATTTTTCAGTCAAGCTGCATATTGGCAAACTGTGGTTTGCTTAAGTCACCCAGTGGTGACACTGGGTGACTTAAGTGTGATTTTCACTGTGACTTTAAAGTAAGGTGTTTCTTAACCACAGTGTGTATACTTAATTAAACTCCACCTTGACAAATAAAGCCATTCCTGGCAATGGCTTATTAAACTTCCCTTTTCCCACTGTAAAATGCTTTATCCTGTCATACTAGGTCAGTAACTATTCAATAAGTAACTTAATATAACTCCTGGTTAAATAAAGCTTAAATAAAAGAGACAACATTCGTTTTCATATATACACCTGTTTTTCTGGCCACCTGACAAGTCACATACATTGTCTCCTTTTAGCTCAATTTAACAATATCTATTTTTTAAACAGTAAATCCTGAAGAGTCATTCATCTATCGGCCGTTTGGCACTGGGCAGAAGTTGTAGTGCAGACTGGAAAAAAACAAAACAAAGTGCAAAAAGAAGACAAAACAACACACTAGAGAGTAGTAACTGCAAGGTTATGGTGATAATTATATGTGGGTTTATAACCACAAGCATTCCCTTTCATGTTACATATAGTCATTTGATCCACTGTTATAAAAACACATGTTATTGCAGCTTTAACGTTTGCTTATTTACTGCAGGTGTAATCAGTAACTGGACAAACGAGACTCGTATCCCTCCCTGCACCATCTACCAGGCCTTCCAGTACTTCCTGGACATCACCACTCCACCGAGTCCTGTGCTGCTGCAGCAGTTTGCTGCTCTGGCAACCAATGACAAACAGAAAAAGAAACTAGAGATCCTCAGTAAGGTAAATTCACTTAGTCTTCGGCATTACCATTAACACTGACCTTTAAAATTATTGAGCTGCTGCTGCACTGAGCGCTTAGCTTGGTTCGTGACCAGACACATGAGGGATTTGCAATGTACTCTATGTGCGTAGGCTATATCCAAAAATATGCTCTCTGTTTTTTCCATTTTAGAGCCAAATGTATGCAGACATTCTTTCACTTTTTATTAGAACACTTTTGAAAGCACAGTTCTATAAAAAGTCACCATGTGTTTAAGGCACAATAATAACCAACACATTCATCGTGTTTGCCATCAAAATATAGAAGATAAGTTTCTGTATCTGAAAGCTAATTTGATGCACTTTGCACTGATGGAAATATGTACAGTATGAGTGAGCTGGCGCCAAATTAAAGCTGTTGATCAGTCTAACCCAGAGCCATTCCCCCTTGCAGTGCCTCCCACAATTCACTCTCCATTTTTGTCAATGTGTGGAAAAGGCTGACTGAGGCCAAGCAGTGACTCATATGCTCATACATCGAATCATTGTCACTAAAGCAAGAGGAAGAGATGGAAGGATTCTGAATTCAGATAAAGAAACAGTACAGTACAATCAGCACTGCAGATCATTTTTATTTTTGTATATGCTAAATCTCAAGCTCATTTTAGGAATAAAGCAGTGTTTCTCAGACTTTTCTAATTTTCCTTTTTATGCCCGAAGATTCTCACAAAAAGAATTAAAGAACAGTCAAGCTTGTTTTGTTATTGTGTTCTGTTTTGTCATAAGCATGAAAGAATGAATTAATTCAACAAAACTGATATTACAAATGTATTAATAATATCTCTAATTAACTAACTATATAAGTCCCCATCTGTGTTTCAAGGTTGAAAAACCCAGGCCCAAATGTACTTTTGCTATTGAAATTGTGATAATTGTACATATGGGACTTCAAACAGTGCTTGAGGCTCAGAACTAAGACCACACCAGGCTTCTTCATGGGCACTGTGTCACTCATTAGCAGCTTAAGAACAAAGCAAAAGATGGGAACATATCAAAGTGTTTTTAGCCTGGTAGCAATGCTCTAAATTCATCACATCCAAATGTCAGCGATGACACGCAAAAACAGTTGGGCAGTGAATGCTGAATGGCTCTGTTTGTGGCTGCCTCTTGCTCTCAAGTCAGATATGTTTAAAGATCTAAAAGACGAAACCACCCTCCATTTTTTTCTGTTACTCTTGCACTTACTTTGTTGTTTTAATTAGGATGTCAATTCAACAACTTACCAAGATAGAAATTAAACCATCTGTACTTCTATCCAACCTTGTCTTTCTCCTTGACATCCCAGGGTTTGCAGGAGTATGAGGAGTGGAAGTGGTACAACAATCCGACACTGGTGGAGATGCTGGAGGAGTTCCCTTCCATTCAGATGCCCTCCACTCTGCTGCTTACCCAGCTGCCCCTGCTGCAGCCTCGCTACTACTCTATCAGCTCCTCTCCAGACCTGCACCCAGGAGAGATTCACCTCACCGTCGCTGTGGTCTCTTACCGTGCCAGAAGTATGGACCTACTACTCATTTGGGGCTCTTTTTCTTTGTCAGCTCCTCTAACCAAGCTGAGCATTAGCTAGCTGCAGGTGATATAGGTCTTTTCTGCTGACAGGGAGGGTGAACCTTAATGCCCCCATTAGGCTTTTGAATGTGAAATATACTCAATCATGCCTTGTGGTTACTAGTAAACTGTATTTACCAGTAAGTTATTGCTTGAAAAAGTATATAGCCTGTATATATATTTTGCTGCAGTTCAGTTTATGTCATGGATAAAAGGCTCTTTCAAGGTTGCTGCAAAGACTTGAAAAGTCAAATGACTCACCCTCTCTAAAAACCACGATGGCTCAAAGAAAATTGATTGCAAGTTACCTTGGAAAGCCAGTCTGCTTTACAGGGCAGCCAGACCACAACTGTAATTACAAGTAACATAGATTTAGAAACACCTCAGGAAGATGTTCTGTCTATGAACAGATCATATTTAAAGATATGAATACAAACACAAATGAAAGCAAATTCTGCAGTCTGTCTGACAGTATATAAAATTCCGGTTTCTGTTTTAGCATTAGTTTTTGTGCATACTGAATCACATGGATTTTATACCCCCACCCCCCCTTTGCAATTAGCATCTGTACCCCTCAGTCTGTCAAGTAGTCAGCAAACATTACCAGATGATATCCCTACTATTTCCATTCATATGTATAATGTGCACTTGTGTAAACATGTTACTATGATTGTATAAGCAGTGCTTGAATTACTGTAATTTCCCTTTCAGAGAGCCATACAGCCTTGGAAAACGGTTTAGGGCCACTCTTTTCCTGTTAGTTTGTGCACTTAAAGAGAGTGGGAGGCAAAGGGGAGGGAAACAGGTAAAGTGCTTACTTGATAATAATCCCTTACAGATGGAGAGGGACCTATCCACCACGGAGTGTGTTCATCGTGGCTCAACAGGATAGAGAAGGGGGAGATGGTGCCGTGTTTTGTCCGAGGGTAAATATCACAATAAATGTTGTAGAATGACGGATAAGTCAGTACTGTGGCATGTTAAAGGAAAGATTGCTATTTTGAGAAATTAAATAAATTGATTCCATTTTTTGCCAGAGAATTAGATGAGAAGACTCATGTCTGTATGCAAAATATGAAGCTACCTCCAGCAGCTGGATAACTTAGCTTAGCACAAAGACTGGAAATGGGAAACAGCTAGCCGGGCTCCGCCTACCAGCAACTCTTGGCTCAAGCTAAAGAGAAGGGTCGAGCCGCAGCCTTGCAGACTACATGACACACCCACTCAGATAATTTCCTAGATTAACGCATTTAAAAAATAAAAAAAACCCAAACCTTGAAGTTTTTGCATCAAAACCTAACCAAGTAGTTGGAGCCTAAACCTAACTGTGACCGTTTCAAGGGTGTCTCATGTATTGCTGTGGACCTGCAGTAGAGAGACTTACTTGGCTAATTAAGATGTTGTATCTGGATTGTCTCGTTAAATTGACAAATTGCCATTTCACCATGTGCCAGACTACTTTTTGGTCACAGCCAGTAACTTCCTGGAGTCTCTGCTGGTTGCCAACTAAGAAAAAGCCCAGCACATAACCTCCCTAGGGTAGCCAACTAAGTAAACTTCATACAGTATTAAGCACACAGCCATGAGTGGTATTAATCTTCTCATCCAACTCTTAGAAAGAAAGCAAATGACTGTCTTTTTCTAAAATGTCAAGCTATTCCTTTAAATGAATTTCACAAACATTCTTGTCACTTTTAGAATATTTTTAGTTCATTTATTGTTGTCTATTCTGTTGTTTTAGTGCACCATCATTCCAACTTCCCAAAGACAACCAAGCACCCTGTATCCTGGTAGGTCCAGGAACAGGTATCGCCCCTTTCAGAAGCTTCTGGCAACAGAGACTATATGACCTTGAACACAAAGGTTGGTTTTTTTCTCATTCTGATGTATTCATTACTTACTGCCTAATAGAGAGGCTTTGCAGTGCATTTTCACAGCTGCACATGAAACTGCAGACAGAATCTTCAATTTGATGGCTGATAATAAGAATATCCTGGACAATCTGACAAATGTATTCTTCCAGTTAAAATGCTGTCATATGCGTTTCTGAGTAATAATGGAATTCCGAGTAAATCCCTGTGAGAGATTTCAATAATACATAAAACAGCTGACCCTCAAATCTATAACATTAGTCGGAGCAACGAAGCAACTCTGCCTGTCGCCTTTAGGAATTGAGTCGTGCCCCATGATCCTGGTGTTTGGGTGTCGGCAGTCAGAGATGGACCACATCTACAAGGAGGAGACCATCCAGGCCAAGAACAAACAAGTGTTCAAGGAGCTCTACACGGCCTATTCCAGAGAACCCGGCAAACCAAAGGTACAAGTGCTAAACTGCAAATGAGTCAGCTTGTCACAGCTCTCTTTGGACTGCTGTGTGGGTTTGAAATAAAATCACAGAGTAGAGAAAGGGCTGAATAAAAACCACTGCGGTACACTCACAAATGACATCAAACATTTCCATTAGATTTTTCTACAGTTGTTCTTAAGGTAAAATTTCAATCATTAGATTTTTTGCTCTTCTTTAAGTCTTTATGTCTATACTTTCTTTGCTGTTAATTACTCTTATTTTGTGTACTGTTCTGTTCCTTTTAGCATAGATACTCATTAACTGAGTTTTAAAAGAACAAAATACACAATACAGAGTATGGAAAAATTGAAATCAAATTAAAAATAAAAAGTTTGCAAATTCTACTTCATTCTATTTTATTTCCATCTGTCAGTCTCCCGACTCTGCTTTTCACATTGTTTCCTTTCCTACTTACTTACTTACCTACAAACCTGACTTATCTGTGTACACTCATCATTCCTTCTCTGCCTCTCTGTCAGAAATATGTCCAGGATGCACTGCGCGAGCAGCTGTCAGAGACGGTATACCAGTGCCTGCGGGAGGAGGGAGGACACATCTATGTGTGTGGGGATGTTACAATGGCTGGGGATGTTCTCAAGACTGTCCAGCAAATCATCAAGCAGCAGGGCAACATGACCCTGGAGGACGCTGGCTTCTTCATCAGCAAGCTTCGCGTAAGACTGAGAGAAACAGTTCAGTTCTTTGTGCAACATCGTCACCATGGAGTGATGGTAGTGTGAAGTGCTCTTCCCTATTGCAGAGGTACCCCTGAGTAATGCAGTCATCCGCCAGCTGAACAGGCGAGGTTCTACAGAGCAGCTTCTTTATATGAAAATATGTAACTTGAGTGTTTAGCATAGAGCTGCTGAAAAACCAAAGGCATGTTGAGTCAGTATTTCTTGAAAGTAAAGGTTTAAAAGCATTCCCACTGGCTTAGTTTCATTTGTGAACTCAAGGGTAAAAAGGCTAAAAAAGAATAATGACACGTGTCACAAAGCCTAAGACTGTTTTTCACTTCAGTGATTCTGTAGCATACAATGACTGCAGGCATCTAAACCGTCAGAATACCTTTATCCATCTATAAATGTTTTATTTCAAATCATAATAAGTGTCACCATCCAGCCCTTTCTCACTCCCAACTTGTCAAATATGGCAGCTATGTTTCAAACTACAATGTTGTACTGATGATAAAGAAATAGAAATACGATATACATATACTATGTGTATTACTTACACACAATTATGTACAGTATATTCACTTTTGAACTCAAAAATGCATTTTCCTGATGTGAGAATGTGTCTAAAAAGGGAAGCTCCAAAGACAGTAAAAATGTGCAAATATGCATACTTTAAACCCTCCGTGCTGATGGTTACATCGGCTGGTGTTTAACCCTACACAAGGAAACTGTCTGTATGCAGTGTGACTAGTTTAGAGATCAAACATTTCTAAATTATATAGTTTAGTACCTCTGCTGTGAAGAAATAGTCTGAAATAACTGATAATCAATATATTCTGCTCATTTCTCTATTTCTTTCACTGTCATTCACGGTCACAATATCCAAAACAACATCCATCTCACATTTTCCTCCCATTCTGCCTCTACTTTCACTATCCCAACATATCCAGGATGAGAACCGCTACCATGAGGACATCTTTGGTGTCACCCTGCGCACCTATGAGGTCACCAACCGACTTCGTTCAGAATCCATTGCCTACATTGAGGAGAGCAAAAAGGACTCAGATGAGTAAGTGGTTTGTCTTTGATTTTAAGTATTTCCTAATGGCAGATTGGCAGGAAGGAGAAAAACAAATTAAACCTCAGTGGGTTGTGCCCAGTAATAGCTGTTCTTCTGAACTTTTTGAAATGTCAGTACTAGAGAAAAGGCCTTAGGGTCATTCAAAAAACAGGTTTATCCTGTCACCAATATTAATGTGCTCAGTAAGTTTCATGGACATGTCTTGATAGATTATGAGATATCTTGCATGCAGTTAACATTTTGGCTTTTGAATGGCACAAAAGATAACCACAACAAATGTTATAGTAATATGCCCAATAGATTTTGACATTTCTTGCCTATAAATGGAAATTATGGGCAATGGTATCTAGGGAAAGATCAGGGGAGCCACCAGAAACAGTAGGAATCATTTTTAGGAGTCATGAATTTCAGCATCAAGTTCTGTTCAAATTCTTCCAATAGTCGGTCAAGTTTTGGTCAAGGGATGATTTTTATAGGATGGTGCTGCTATACAAAATACCACTTTTTTTGGCATTGCTCTCCGATGACATTGTCAGACACACAATGGAGAGTTCAAATCAAAATCAATGCAGCAGAACCAGATGTATCATTCTTTTTAATTCCATGCATCTTCCTTGTCAAACCGTGGCACCTCATTACCCACAATGCACATCAATGTAGATTCAAGCAGAGATGAGGAACAGGATACAGAGGTCTGCTAAGCCCATTTCTTTCTGACTTCACACCACCAGATTTCTTTCATTGTCAGACCCAACCAATGCTGACTCAAGTGACATCACTTGAGGCAGTTTATCAGACACTGTGCTGCTCCCTCTGGAGACACAAAAGACTATATACAATGTTTTTCACATATGCACTAGTACTCCCCAGCACTTGTAAAAAAAACTTTCATGTGAAAATTAGTGAAGCACCCCTTTAAAGGACCAGTGTGTAGGATTTAGTGCCATCTTGTGGTGTAGTTTCAGCTGTCAACTCGTTTCACCCTCCCCTTCGCAGCACATCTTTCTAGAGACAGTTTTTGGTTTGTCTGTTCTGAGCTATTATAGAAACATGGTGGTTCAGCATGGGGGAATCCATGGAAGGCAGATAAAAAGAAGTCATTCTAAGATAACAACAGAACAATTCTTATATTCAGGTGATTGTACACTAATGAAAACATACCTATGAGTATTATATTCCATTTCTGCCAATAGATCCTCCTAAATGTTACACACTGGACCTTTATTGCCCACAGCAGATTTAATGGCAACCTGGCCAGTAGTTGTAAAGTGCTCTGGGACTTGAGAGGCTGATTGAGTTTGGTTGTTAACCTGCAGGGGTCTCAAACTGTTCAAACTCAACACTCAACCCAATTTAATTAGTTCTTCCCTATGTTTCCAATCCAGTGCCCCCCCCGTTTACTGGCATTTTACTGCTTATTTCAGATTTATCATTTGACTTGTGTGTAACATTTATACCGAAGGTTTTTTTGTTGTTGTTGTTTTAGGGGATGGCCCAACCTTTGGTCCAATCTTATGGCCGTCAAATCCAAATGATAACAAACTGTAATTCTTGGGGGTTTAAAAGGGTTTTTGGGGGGGGGCCCCGGGAAATAAAAAACACAAGCCTAAAAATTTTTAAATAACTTTTAATTTGTAAACCATTTAAGTAAAATTTTTTTCCAAAGTTATTAATTATATTTTGTAAAAAGCATCTCATTCACCAAATGAAACCAGGAAATAACTCACATTCATTCATTCCTTCTTTCCTCCATCATCTCATAGTCTATTTGTGTCTGACTGGATTTTAGGAGGCATGGTAATGTCTAGTGTGTATACACAACATATAAAACCAGGACCATTCACTTGTCTCATTTGCAACACCCCTGAACTGTGTGGGATGTGCACAGTAAGATCTAAGATGTGTTTTCTTGTTTATTCATCTTTTTACCAGAGATCCTTCTTTACCACTCAAATTTGCCAGCTGGTTAGCTCATATTTTATTAAAAAAAAGAAAGAAAACGTTTTGGCACAGCCCATTGAGATTTATCTCAGTTTGTGAGATTATCAGTGCAGCTCTATCTCTGAGAGACGTTTGTATAAGTCCAATTCCAATCTGCAACCCGTAGTTGTTGGCGATGTGTTATCGCCACCTCGTTTCAGATGAAAACAGAGTGGGTAACCATAGAAACCCGTGGAGAAGGGCCTTTAAACTAACAGGATTAGAGTGAAAGCGAGTGGCTCTGTTCCATTACTGTTTTTGTTTCCGTCGTTATTTGTGCATATTCAAGATTAGACACTTCATATACCCTTGCCACGAGAGCAAAACAAGGGCCCTACATAGCCACTACGGCTCATTAAGCACCAACATAATGCATCACAGACGATGGTTCCTGTGTGGATTGTCACTTGAATTTCACATTTGGCCATCAAAGCCCCTGCTCGCTGGATGAGTAATGACTGTAACATCTCTATTTCTATGTCTCTGTTGCTCTCTCTGTCTGTCTTTCTGTCTCTCCTTCTGTCCTCTCTCTCTCTCTCTCTCTCTCTCTCTCTCTCTCTTTCTCTCTCTCAGGGTTTTCTGCTCGTAGGTCTATGAATTGGGGACTTTCTGGCGACAACCAGTCAAGAGGACACGGCAACACTGGTTAAAGAATACTGTGCCAATTTTTGTACTGTAAAAAAAAAGGGTTTCTTTCTTTTTTTATACCACTTAAATGTTTCTGTTGGGCTCTGCGATTTTGTCTGTAGCAAGTTGGAAATGTTCTGTTCTTTAAAAATCTGTTTTGCTTGTTGATGATACTTCCAAAAATTATAAATTGATCATTTTGATTCATAATGTGTGCACCTAGTGTAATGACCTGCCTCATTGTGAATGCATGACCAAGACAAGAATATACTCAAGAAATATAATATACTCTGTGTTATTGTTACAGTTAAAAGGCTTTTATTGAGATTTTATATTTACAGGGAAACATGTGGCGTTGTTAACAAACTCAAAGATGTTTCTGAAGTTGAATTAAGTCAATTTTACGTTTCAGGAAAGAACCAGGGCTGGTTACATCTATTTGGGCTGTTTTTATCAAAGACTGTAGTTTCAGGAAAAGTTCAAACAGCAGAGATAAGTGAAAGCTGTACAGGCATGCAGGTAGAAAAACTGAAAGACAATTTTGGCGTGTTGACAGGTCGCCCTAAATGATGAAAACAGTGATTCTGTCACAGCTTGAACAAACATATTATCTAGCTCTTCACTGGTAAACCATTAAAATGCATCAGCCTCTGTGCCAGCTGTCTTTTTAGTGGCTGTCCATTCTCTCATAACATCATAATGTTGTGTGTCACAGCTGGTGCTTGCCCAGCCCACAGCAGCTGCATAGGAATGTGCAAGGTAGCCACTAAAGAAGTCTGAAACTGAGTCAGTACATATTAAAATAATCTTAATTAAACTTCTTCAGGGCTCTCAAATTTTAAATTATCTAAGTATTGATGTGTTGACTATAATAAAAGAAAACTATATAACCATAGTGGAGGGAAACTGGTTTGAAAAAAGCTTTTTTCTTTAATGAAATCTGGGATTGTTTGACATTTTGGGAAAATAACGCTTATTCTCTCTATTGCCGAGAATAAGATGAGAATATCAATACCACTCTCTTGTCTGTACGGAAAATACGGGGCTACATTTTTTAATTTTTCAAGTTGCATAGCCCTAGCTGAGCATAAAAACTGGAAATTATAATATCTCGCTACCAAAGGACTAAATAGAGGTTATGACCTTATTCTCAGTAAAAAAAGTAAACAAACAAAACAACTATGATACTAAAAGTCAACTATGACTTTAAAAATTAAGTATCTCTGTAACAAAACATTGTCAATGGAAGCAAAAAGATCTGTTTTAGCTCCCTGTGCTGTCCAGATCATATCATATAGCTGTCAACATGGCACAAACTGTCACCTATTGAGCTTTTAAAACATGCATTTATCAGCATCATGACTCCTCTGCCTCTTGCCTTACATTAACTCTCTGCCTCTGCCTACATACGACACATTTCTTTTTTCTTTCGTCTCTCTGCATGAAATTGCGCAACCCTGCGGCTCACACGCCACCCTTTCACTGTGACCTGACACCTGCTCAGTAGCATCAGCATGTGTGTGTATGTGTGTGCGTGTGTGTGTGTGTGTGTGTGTGTGTGTGTGTGTGCCATAGACATCATCATAAGTGTGCGCATCTCAATATGAGTGGGTGTAAAACATGCATGTGCTCAGGTGTTTGTTTTTACATGATTATTCTGCTTGTTGTCTGTTACCTTGTCAAACTGGTCAGATTTTAAAATAAGCATGAATTTGTTGCTCTGTGAGTCACACAAGCCTGCAAATTTAATCTTACAGATGGTGTTTTGGTAACAGGAAACTGCCCACATGGCTTTTAGTTTTAATCTCAGCAGTTTTATTGTTGTAAGTTGCAGTGAAGTTTTTCATTCAGGGACAAGAGGCAATCACACTGCCGCTGTGGTCATTTGCTGCTTTCCAATGAGTCAGGACTGTAATTTGAATATGTTTGTGCAGAGGCCACATTGTTTATTGATCACCCTCTCTGCAGTAACCTGTGGCTTTACTTGTCAGCTTCTGAGTCTTGTTTGTTCCCTTTATTTGTCTTTGATTAAAATTAAAGATAGCTGTCAGCATGATTAACGGATTTCAATGTGATTTTCAAATGTCCCTCACAGCTGCTGAGAATATTTTTGTTTTCTGATTTCCTCTGAGGCAACTATTTTTACTGCCGGGAAACAATGGGTGATTCCCATTGTCCCCACTGTTGTTCATTCTGGATGAATGTCACCTCTGTATAATTTGTTTAAACAGATTTAGTTAAATTGGAATGAGAGTCGTCAAGAAAATGTCTGTGATGTAAAATGTGCAACAGGAAAACAATTGATACAAGATATAGCTTCTATATATAGCTTCTATATATATATATATTCAAAGACAAAGTATAAAATATAAAGAGTACCACTTCAATCTTTTCTAAGAATGTATTTTGATTATGTAAATGAGCACTATGATTCTGCTTGATTTAAAAAGAACAAAAAAAGGCATATTCTATGGTGTCTCTCATATCCTTTAGGTATGGGGAAAAACAGCAGCATTAAATAAATGCATGGTGATCTTCTGTCTCCTGTTCATATTTAAAAAGCTCTGTCTATTTACCAGCACTGTGTCAGTCAGTGAGACTGTATTGTGAAGTTATCCGGCCTTTCTCACAGGGCTTCGGATTGGTAAAAAACATTTTTGAGGGGTTTCTTTTTCTGTGTTTGCATATCGCTGCTGCTATGAACAACTCTGATCCAATCAGCCTCTGCTATAATGACCTTTGTTGTGTAATTGATTGAGGATATTCCATTTTAATGCATCAACTGCAAGGACTTTGCATTTACTTACAAATAAAGAGAAACATTTACAGAATATGTCAACACATGTGCTTGGTTTACTTTTCTTGTTTATATAAGAAATAAGCCAGACTGGAACGGTTTATTCCTGCAGTAGGTCTTGTTTAAGGTCGAAGCATTTTAGTTTGAAGGTCAGATTTAGATGTTGATACAGAGTTTTGCCCTGAAAAACACAGTTGCAGCAAACAAACCATTTGCTTCCCCTTCTCTTCCTGCCACTGTAAGTGCTGGTTGTTATGGCTCAGAGCGTTGGCACTCAACAAACACAGAGAACACAGAGATGCCTCTCAGCGCCATGGTAACGTGTCAACAAAACAAGTCATCCAAACTTTACACAAGTACTCTGATTGGTGACTAGCTGTCACGCAGAGAAGCGGTGGCCTTTTTAATTAGCCCAAAGAGTTTGACCCTCCTTTGAGCAAGATAGGTTGCATGAACACATAGCTGCACAACCTGCTGGTCAGATGCAGTGCAGTGATTCACTTACAGCACAAATACTTTAACATCACAGTGAGTTTAAAAACAAACTTGGAATAAAGCAAAAGTCAGAAGTTATTTTTGCATAAAGGTTGCAAAATATATCTTTCTCAGTATCAGTATCTCCATTACTCAGTGTCGAAGTCATGGTTCATGGGAAGAAGTTGGCCAGGGAGACGCTGCTGCCTTCTGTGCTGGAAGACGATGACGCAGAAACAGAAAGTGAGAGGCTGCAGCTGGGGGAGGTAGGAAGCTGACCATCCAGCCAAGTCTGCAAACTATTGAACAAGGGAAAGTGTGAACAACCAGGTAGGCAAGTGGAGACTTAAAGATTCTGTTCAGAAGCCGGACTTTAAATAAGACACAGGGGAAGGATTTTTGGTGAGAATTTAAAGCATGTTATAGACCTGCAAGAGTATATTAGGCTTTAGAAATGGACATTTTAACCAACTCCATCTCTTGGTACGTCTGAGCACTTTCCTTGCCCAGGGCAAGGAAATACCGGCTCAAAAAAACAGGCCGCAAACCTGCTATTTCTTTTTTATGGATCGAGCTTTTGACCTGTGTACTCACAGGAATTAATTTAAGAGAGGGGACTCAGAGTCTCACCCTGAAAGCCTGTTTCAATTACACTTTTATGTAGTCTAATCACAGGGCTCCATGCACTATAGTGTGAGAAATACAGTATGAGTAAAGTAAGCATGCACAGAACCATTCACATGCCAAATAATGGTATTTCTGAATAGACGGTTTAGTCCTGAAAATAACAATATATGGCTTAGCTTACTGAGACATGCAGTGGATATGCCATAGGCCAAGAAATAAAGGGGATGAAAGACAGCTAAAACAGCCTCTGGTTCTGGAGTAGGAGGGAAGGGAAGTTGTTATAAACACTATAAGGACAGAAGGATACAAGCTTAAAGAGACAAGTTAAAATGGTCCATCCACATTGACGGACTCAGTTGTTCAAAGTGTAGGTATCAGTTTTTTATTCTCCTGGCAGAAAATCCATCAAATCTCCTCAGTCAGGCTGCCAACAACTGCTGGCTTTGAGGAGTCACGATGTGTTACTTTGTCATTCTCCGCCCAGCGAAGAGTGAGCCAGACAGAGGTCGGCGTGCGTGGGCCAAAGGACCAACGCTCAAGCCCTGACGGAAACATGGTAGACGGAGGTGAAAGAGAGGGTAAAGAGGAGGAGGAGGAGAAAGAAGAGGAGGAGCTGGGAGGAGAGGAGTGTGTGGTCTCTGATGAGGACTACGACACAGATTTGGAGCTTGGTGAGTATAGATAAAGTTGATTATGGATAGAAAAGGAAAGATAAGGGGGGAAAGTTAATTATGATAAAGGCCGCAATCTTCCCTCTTATAAAAAGGTGGGGAAATTGTTAAACATTTCAAACTGGTATTTTCTGTATGAAATAATATTTTATACTTACAGTGATAAAGCAAAGCCCTCCTGTCTCCCCATCTGTCAAACCTTCCCCTGCTGCCTTTCCATCTACTCAATCTCTAAATGATTTCAGAGAAGAAAAAAACAAAAAAAAAAAAACTAGAAAACTCCTACATGCGCCTGCCCACACATGTGGAGCCCTGTTCTGCATCTTAATGATTTCATCTCAGTCTTTGTGTCAGGCTTCCTTTTCACCAGAAGTGAAAACCATCTGGTATGAATGAGCTCCCCTGACAGGGCGAAATCAGCCATGAGGGACTTTTCAATATCACACTCAAAAGGTCCTCCTCCGGGGGAAAGTGCCACATCTCTCCTTTTTCAAAGAGGTATTGATAGCGAACAATTCATACAGACACTACAGCTAGTGTCTTTGTTCATATTGCAGATAAGGAGGAGGCATATGACCCGACGGGGCAGACGTGCTACATGGAGGCGTGTGAAACATTACAGGTGGTACCAGCTTCTTACTTCCTGCGGCAAATGCTAAGTAGCGAGCTGTCCTTGATGCATCGTGGTCTGGGACCTCAGGTACTTTAATCATAAGTTAGGGACTGTATAGAAATTATTAGAGGGGGAAAGGAGCAAATAATTTCATGTGTATTGCTTCTTACTGAAGGGAGGGGGTTTTTTTTAAAATGTATTTTCATACAAAATTTCTATATTTTCTATTCTTTTTTCCTTCACTCATTTGGAATCCAGGTGCAAGGCAAAAATATTTCAGTCCATCCGCAGCTATCTGTGGAGAATTCATTCATTCAGTGACAGTAACAGGAACAGAACAATGATTTATTGAAAATGAAGTGGCAGTTTGAAAGTTATTTAGTCTAATTCTAATGTGTACATTGGTGGCTGTAGTCTAAGTTATTTTACCATTGACATTATACAGTTTAAGTTGGGTTACACCATCTCTTTTAAATATTAATAGCTATGGTAGTTATAATACCTATTTTTATAATAAAAATATATCAAATAACAATGTGAATGGGGTTGCTTGTAGTGACGGACCTACAGAGAATTATCATCCAAACCTTGCGGAGTTTCAGCTCATTATTTAACTGTCCAGTCCAGCATTTGGTTCACTCTCACTGCTCTTATATCATCATTTTCAGCCACAGCAGGCAGCTGTTGTCAGCACAAAAGCTCTAAAAACCCCACTGTCAACTACCTACTCAGCACCAAACAGCAGACAGACATAGCAACTTGGTGAACATAATTAGCATTCAGCCGCTAGTCAGATATTTCCCTCAGGAGTTGACTAAAACAGAACTAAAAGAGAGTGAATACTGGAGGTGGACAGACTCATAATGAATATCTACCAGAAGAGTAAAAGTAAGAAATAGTTTGCTGACAATTTCACTAAGGTCATGATATTCAGTGCAACTTGTTTCTGTTGCACCCAAGTTGCTAAAACATTACTTATTGTAAGTATAAGGTATTGGAGGGAGAGAGAGTTTTTTTCTAAGACAATGGGAGGGGCAAAAGAAAATATTAATAACAGCAAGCAGGGTCCTATTTTATTAAGAAATGACAGATAAGGTTCAGCCCCCCACCTGCATAACGTTCATGCGGCTCTTTAGACAATCTGTCTCAGCTTTATAGCGTGTAAGAGAGTCTGTTTTTACCTCTTTTGCTCATCAGATCATTTTCCCCTGGGGGAAGGTACTCAAATTGAACCTGCCATCTTGTAAAAGACCTACAAATATTTGAACTTCTTTGGCCCTCTAACGCTATTTCAGATCGGCCCAGACTGTTGTTCAGTGAATGACTCATTAATTCAAAGTCACATTCCCCTCCAGGGGGACTGCACTGATCATGACAAAGTCTAGGGAGTCCAATGCAGCTGAGCTTCAAGGAGTTTTCAGTCTTTTTCCCTGGAAATAGATCATGTGTGCACATATCTTTGCAGAACACTTTACATATAAAATTGCAAATTCCATTAATTACCAATACACATTGAAGAGGAGAGTCCTTTGCCTCTTTGAAGAGAAGAGAGGCTGCTGATATTGATTTATACTCAGAGAGAGCTTATTATGCAATTTTTAAATTTTAATTTACCTCTGGGGATGGATTCTTATTTTGGATCTTAAATGAAAGAAAATATTTTTTCACCAAGTAGCTTTATTATCTGGTCCTGTAAAGTATAAGACACTATATCAATATTGTGTCTACACATTTTAGCTCTCATATAGCCCGAAACAAATGTACAAACAAATGTGCCTTATTAAGTACACATGTACAACACAGTGTTTTGATTGTTGCCATGTACTCTGTGAAAACTTAAACAAACAAAACTGAAGATGTATATCGAGTGATGTTTTTGCACTTAAACCCTATACAGCCTCATTTTAGCCCACAAGTCGATAACAATTAGCTGTCTTTTTAAGGGTTAATCAATGTAAAATTGCTCTGTGGTTGCTAATCTCTGACAGAGGGTGCAGTACATCTTCTGCAAGTGTGAAAATTGCCTGGAGCTCTTAGCAACACAGTTTGACATTTTTACAGGCTTCCAGTGGTCCATAACGCTGTAAATTAAAGTTGTAAAAGTAAATCCATTCCTTAACAAGCCATTTCCAGAGGTTTCGGCTTCAGTAACATCATTCAGACAGGCTGAATTAGATTTTAAAGAAGTCTTCACCTCTCAATCATAAAGAGTAGAGGTAAAGTAACATGTTGCAGATCGATGGGCTGCTGAAATCTTACAGAAGTATACTTTGTATGCATTTAAACACAGTATCCCCTGATAGGGTCGTTTCTGCTCTCCTTTTTTTAAGATCAAGTTAACATAAGGCTTCATGCACTCAACTTTCTCATTAGCCGTGCTAGAAACTATAATTTTCATGTTCTGCAAGCTTCATTTCTGACCCACGCCTCCACACAGCTCCCTTCTGCTTCATTTGTCTCACACAGGTTTAATATTCCTCTCTCTCTCTCTCTCTCTCTCTCTCTCTCTCTCTCTCTCTCTCTCTCTCTCTCGTTTTCTCTCTCTGCCCACCTGCATCAGTACATCTACTCTTTTAACTGGAATACAGATAAGAAAATATACTGCAGTGAACAAACAGAAGAATTTCACTTTGAGGGGGGTTTGGTTGTGTGTTTGTAGGGCACCAAAGCACTGGCGGTTCCCCTGGTAACCAACACTTCAATACTGAGGCTGAACCTGCGAGATAATTGGATGGAAGGAATGGGCGGAGCTGCTGTAGCTGAGATGTTAAAGGAAAATTGTTACATTACAGGTGGTTTTACTCGGCACTCAAGCGTGCACACATTTTTTCTCTTTTCCCTCACTCTGTCTCACCTTTTTGTAGCAAGAGTGCCACCCTGACTCCCACTCATACGCCACTCTCACCCCAATTATATGCCACAGCACACAATTTAACATCTGGGGTCCCTGTTTAATATTTGTTAAATGTCAGTCCTATGTACAGTTCAGGAACCTATGGGGGAATCTATGCAGAATGAGTCCTGTGAGTCATGCAGGCTGTTTCGGCTGGTGTTATTTTTAACATCCTTTATCATGCACCTCTATTCAACTTTCAGGGGTAATCCAATTTTATGAATATACAGTGTAACAGATTAGTTGTCAATGTGGCCTGTATTTTGCTGATACTGCAGCAGACATTAGCCAACACACAATTTTAAAGAAAACCAATTTTTCTGGTTTTAAATGAATGATTAAACAACAAAAGAGAAGTCTGAAAGGTTCGAACAGTGACAACAAAAGTTGTCAGGAATTTACTTTGGTGAGAGGATTGAGCAGAAAGATTACCAAGAGAATGTTAAACACTCCTAAAAACATTAATAACATAACAAGACTGCAGCCAGGCTAGAGACAGTGCTTTAGGCTGAACGGTAATATCAGAATATGCCCACAATGCTGACCCTTTTCAACATTTTAGTTTTCGTGTGGTAGAATGCTAACATTTGCTAATTAGCACTAAACCCAAAGTATAGCTGAGGTTGATTGTAATGTCATTAGTTTAATTAATTAACATTTTGACCTGATGATTGTCAGAAGGGATCGCCAAAGATATTGCAGTCGCTGGTCGGATTTGAGCCCTGGGCCGCAGCTGCAGCAGGATAGCTATCAGGGCATGACCTAAAATATGTTTCTGAAAAGATTTTAAGTAATAAATAGGCAATGTAGTAACAGAATCTTGATTCATATTTGATCAAAACTGTCCAGTTTGACAGTTTGATCGAAAGACTTGAAACTATTGAGACTACAAACTCCTTAGGAAACTGTTTACTGAGCTCGTAGATCAAGTGAGAAGTGGGGTCATTTTTCAATTTTTTTGGAGCTGCCCCCTGCTGGCTATTACATAGAAGGCATGTTTAAGACACTTGTCCTTAACAAATTGTATGCAGTCAATCCCATAGCTGTCAAAACATTTCAATCAGAACCGCAAATGTCGACCTCATGGTGGCACCAGTAGAAACCAGGGGATAACCAAAGTCATTAGGATTCTTGGTCAAGGAACCATTGATGTCTGTATAAAATGCTGTGCCAATTTATTCAACAGATGTTGAGATATTTCAGAGCAAAAGTAGTGCTACAAGAAAGGTCAGGGGATAACCAAAGTCATCAGGATTCAACCTCTGGGGACCATCCGTACGAAGTGTCATGGCAATCCAATCAATAGTTGTTAACATTGCTGTGAATAGAGCCATGTCTCTAGTGTGGCTAAAACAACTATGACATTAAAATTCCAACGATTTACCATTCAAGAATCAAATAGCCTCGTGTATGGAATGCTCAGGTTTATTTACTTGGAGCGAAGACGATATGTAAACATTGTGAATGAAATATTCAGAGTCTTCTGATGAAGCTGAACAAAAAAAAAAAAAAAATGGAGGGGAAGGAGTGACCAATAGTTTGGGATGTAGTCTTAACTATTTTGTGAAACCCACTTTAGCAGTAGTCAGGCTACCAAATCTACCAAATAAAGGCAATTAGCAAACCTTCAACAATGATGCACAGAGAACCTAAAAACTATTATGAATTGTTGTTGAACTACACTGTACTTCTCTTTGGACACCTCTTTGTGATAGAAAATACATCTTTTCCTTCCACATATATTTACTTTCCAACATACATGCCCTTTAACCTGTGTATTTCTGTGTCAATCCCAGAGGTGGACCTATCCGAGAACAACCTTGGGGATTATGGGGCCACAGCCATAGCTGGTATGCTTAAGGAGAACAGCACCCTGGTGAGCCTCAATCTGTCAGGAAACCATTTCACAGACCAGTCCGCTGAACACCTCGGTCCAGCACTCATCACCAACACCAAACTACAGCACCTTGACCTCAGCCACAATGCTCTAGGAGAGCGTGCAGGTAGCACAGCAATTAGGTGTACATGGTAAAGGTCTCATATTTTCTGTGTGGCCTTTAAAAGAATGAAACAGTACCCATGGCTCCCATTTTTATTACACTGATATTAAAGATTTCCACAGGAGATACATATTTTCTCGTATTTTAGCAACATCCATTAGCAGCATCAGATAACTGAACTTCAGAACCCAGAAATAATATGTGAGATCAATAAATAGCAAAGGACAAGGGGTATGAAGAATAAGATGTAAATTAGTCCAGCTTCATTTGACAGAGTTCTCTCTTCTCTCTCTCTCTCTCTCTCTCTCTCTCTCTCTCTCTCTCTCTCTCTCTCTCTCTCTCTCTCTCTCTCTCTGAAGAAATCTGAATTCTGAAATGTACACCATATTGCCAAAAGTGTATGGACAGCTGAACAAAGCATGTTGCTCCCATTCAGCCACAACAGCATTAGGTTCAAGGTTAATTTATTCATCATTTTATAATACAAGGTTGTGCAACAAAATGCAAGCTGTAGTCCCTTTATGCAACACACGCACACACAAAACAACTATTTGTGCAGAGGATGAACTGAGGAGTCTCACTCACAGCCTGAGGGAAGAAGATGCTCTGGAGTCTGGTGGTACAGCAGGGGATACTTCTATATCACTTACCAGACGGCTGCAGGGTGAACAGGCTGTGGCTGGGGTGGGTACTGTCTTTTAGTATCCTTTGAGCTCTGTGCAGACACCTGACCACACCGATATTACTGATGCTCGGATGGATACCAATGATCTTCTGAGCTGTTTTAATCACCCACTGCAAGAGCCCCCCCATCCTGGGCCTTCACATCCCATGTCAGTTTGTGATGTTTCCAGTCAGGTTGCTTTCTGTTGCTCCTCAAGTCGAAGTTAATAACTTGGCTAGAAAATCATGGTATACAGAAATACAGTTTCCGAGTTTTTTTAACCAGGGTGGAGATATGTGATGACTGTGACAGGTTCTGTGTGATGTTAACTTCCCAGGAACCTAAAACTGTTCACCTGCTCCAACTCAGGTCCAGATGTAGACAGGGTTGTGTGTCTTTGCCTCTTTTTTTCCCCTAGTAGGTTGTTTTCAGTGCACCTCTCTGCAAGATTAATTTTCGTTGTTTGAAATGTGACCAATGATGACACAGAGTTGTCTCCAGGGATTGAGGTCCAAAGAAGTCCAACAATGATGTTGGGCAGTTGGCATTCCAGTTTCCCTGAATTCCCCTTAAAGCACCTATTTTCCCAAACCATGAAATGACAGCACCAGGACAAAAATGCACAAAAATATGTGGACAGATAAGCATTCCGTAACAAAGAAGTTCACATACTTTTGGCCATATAGTATTTTGTTGAACTGTGAATGAAGTTGTTTCCATAGACTCTTTTTTTTTGTATCTCAAAATTCTGCAGTTAATCTCAGATCTCAAATATTTGTTTCATTTGGCCATAATTCATAGAACTTTTCACTGAAGATGGCTGCAGAAAAAGTAGTACATTTCAGATTAGCGCCATCTTTTAATTGTCATGACTGACATCATTACTTAAAATCAAAACTATTTTACTTATATGTTCCTTTGTTCACAGATGAATTCATTCACTTTAAAACTAGAAGTAGTTGTGTAGTAGTAGTGAAAGCAAAATCCTCTTTTCTGCCTTATTAAATGATAACTGAATATATAGTAAAGACTTTTAAATTGACTGTAAAGAGTGCAGATTCATTTAATACCATGACTTTATGTGATTACTGGTGTCCATTATTTGATTGTGTGAAAAACCATTCTCATAAAACTGGTAAGAGTTTTCCATAATGGTGCAGCCTTATCTCTAAGCAGTCACAGGACAGCAGGCAGTCGCAGACTGTGGCATTCAAAGGTCAAGAACATTTCTCCTTCATTAAAACCTCTTTCAATTATGATCTGGATGAGCTTTGTGACAGGCACCTTGTAGAATAATGGCAGACCAGGAAACATCTGATGTAGGTAATTGAAAATAAATCTGTCTCTGGGAAAGGGGACACCACCATGTCTCATTGCCATGTGTGTGGCAATGATTCATCCCCACATATTCAATTCTATTTTCTCCACTGCTGAAATATCAACGAACATCCTCATTCATTTTGAGTGCACTCTTCCATATAGGTCCCTGAGAGAAAGTATACCAATCAAACACTCTGACATTCATGCTATCGGTGTTATTGCTTTTTCAGCCAAGCACAGTAAGAGCATCTTTTCCATGATTATGAACCACTGAGTGCCATGCACTTTCTTATCCTTGTGATAAATTGGGTGAGATGATGATGGGGGACTTTCTCTTTGGGATCTCTGCCTCTAGAGCCCTCACTTACTTTAGGCCATGAAACACACAATCACACCATATCAGTGGATTCCACTGGAGATGAGATAGGTTGCTCCCAGAGAGTGTTTTTAATAGTACTTCTATTTTTTTCCTGGATCTGAATAATTTCCCAAAATCAGATTTCCACTATTTGTCACAAAATCTTACAAAGAGACAGATAACAATATTTTATATGAGTTTTGAAAAGACATTTGATTTACTGATATGAGACATTTTCTTCATTAACAATTAAATAACTGAACTTTTTATTTTGTCATACAACCATTATTCCTTCTGTTTTTCTCCTATCCTAAGGGCAAAACCTGGGAGACTCTCTGTCAGAGAACACAGGGTTGAGATCAATAAGTCTGGCCTGGAACTGCATTCGAGGAAGAGGAGCTGTGATGCTGGCCAATGGCCTCGGGGTAATACACCTGGAAAATCAATGTTTGAACACCATACTAGCTTTTGAACTCAGTCAAAACAAAATAAGATCTGCAGGTAATACAGTGAGTGGTTAGAACAGGACAATCTGTTTACCGGTATAAAGCCATCAAATAAATAATCATACAGGGCAACTTTATAACATTAAATTGCTGTCATGTCATATCACATCACTAAAGTTATGGGCATTAATATGCTGCTAGAACAGCCTCTTCTTGGAATCTTACCACAAGCTTTTGAAACCTGGCTGCATGGAGTTTGGACACTGATGTTGGGCAGTAAGGCCTGGCTCACTGTCCAATTCATTCCAAATGTGTTGGATGGGGTTGTGGTCACGGCTCTGGGCACAGCATTCAAGTTCTTTCACACAAAACTCAGAAAACAATTTCTTTATGGATCTGGCTTTGTGCATGAGGGCATCATTTAATCCATTCCTTACATGTTTGCTCTTGTGCTTTCATGCCTTCATGCCGGCAATAGTCGTGGCCAGCATTATGTTATAGGATTGCCCATCGATCCGTCCCATTCTTGTGAACGCAATATCTCAGGAACGCCTCAATCCACTTGGGGTCAAGGATCAACTGATTAGATTCTAGTAGTCAAAGGTCAAGGTCACCTCACTCAACACTTTTTTGTCATTATTTCATTGGACAATGATTTTGTGACACTTTTGACTCAAAGGTCACTGTGACAGCAAAATGATCTTGATAAACACGTTTTTGGCCAAAACTCAAGAACTGATGCTGTAATAACAACAAAACGTTACACAGAACTAGTCACATTTTTTTATCCAAAAGGTCAAAAGGAGCCTTTTTCCAGTCATTATTCATCACCGTAACTCAGACTCAGAAGGAAAGAATGTGTCCATGGTTGGTTGGACACTGAATTGGTGACACTTTTGACTCATAGATCATTCTGGTCATTCTGATCTGAAAATAGCCTTAAAGAATGAATTGGCCAATTTCACGTCACACACATGCTGACTAGGACGAAAATCAACCACTGTTCGGGTGCAGGGTTTGGCAAAATTAGGGAACATTTTGGAGAAGCTATATGGGGAAATAGAAAGTTTGTAATTTTTCTATAAAAACAAGATCATGTTATATTCTGGTGATACTGTTTTTAAAATGACTTGAATAAGTTTAATAATATGATTCTGTTATGATAGAGGTTGATCATTTGTATTAGAGGAATATACTGTCTATCATAGCATGGCTAACTCACTTATCCTGTTTTGTGAAACAGCCTGTTAGTATTTATTAAGCATTTCACAGCAGGAGAGACGGCATAGACAGTTTTTCCTTCCCTATCTTAATGAGCAAGATGGTCTAGGAGACCCTGATCAGTAAGCTGCACTGACAGGTTTGATTGATTCAGGTACTGAGAGGCTTATTACTTCAGGATCCATCCTTCTGCTCTCACACGTTCACATGTTTCTTTGTTCCTTAGTTAATCCTGTTAGAGACAACTGATAAAGTTTTACCTGTTGTGTATTCTTTCCTTTTTTGTTTTATAGGGAAACATTTTCCTTAGAACTGTGGATCTGTCATTTAATGGCTTTGGTAAAGAAGGAGCCATTGCTTTAGGGCAGGCTCTGAAAGAGAACACCATTTTGGAGGAGTTGAACGTGAGGTATGTTTTGTTATCTCAGTTATCTGATAATCAGATTGTCCTACAGTCACTGGGTTAAAAGGGTCAGAGGTTGCAGTTCAGTTTAGATCACTTTTATAAACTAACATGTTTTACCTTGTTTGGTACTAACTGTGACACAAAACTAATAATTTTTTTTTAAAAAGAATAATTTATGGGAGGTAGGTTTACCAGTGAATCTTAAACATTGGTCACATTCTTTCTTAAAAGTGAGCCTGCGACCATAAACATGCCTTTCCTTTAACTTCCCAAGCACAACAAAGCTTGCCTCATAGATTTCCAGACATTTGGGCTACATGGATGAATAATGCCATTTAAAAAATAACACTTTATGATTGCCTCCCCTCACACTCCAACACACATATTTTTTTTGTTTTGTTTTCTGCATTTGTTTCTCTTCACAGTAACAACAGAATACCCCCTGAAGGAGCTATTCGCCTAGCCATGGGCCTCAAAGCAAACAAGACAATCAAATCCCTGAATGTAAGCTGTTGAAAAGAGATTGGTTCTAGCTTCAAAAGCAATGGGGGGCATCAGTGGATAAAATAGGGATAAGTAAATGGATCACTGTACTTTGTTTTAATGTCAGCGTCCAAGCAGAGTTCCCAGAGACTCATCTTAAGTGCCTGAAACAAGTCAGTGATTGAAAATAAGTTATGGTGAAGACTTGCACTAAAATTGAGTTACAGCATTTCATATTGATTACATGTGCACATGTGAGTTGAAAACTTGACTTTGGGTGTCTGATAGCTATACAAATCTGAAAACTTACCATGCTATGAACAGCTAAATTTAGCCAGTTCAAGAGAGTTCAAAGTTCAAAGACACAATTCAATTTGCATCTGGACTAATGGCAGCTAATGCCTGAATTCTTTCTCTGTTCTTTGTTTTGTTTTTGTTTTTCTTCTGCAACTAGTCTTCATTAAAAAAAAAAAGAAACATTTTATTGGCACACATAAAATTACACTAATTTATAGCTGTGCCAAAAGTAGCCCAGAAGGGCAAAGTTACCATTAGCCAGTGGTCAGTTCTTAGAGGAATAGTGGGACATTTTGGGGAAAATACACATATTTGCGCTCTTGAAATATGCTTGCCAGAGGTTATGAGAAGATCAAAATTATTCTCATATGTGTAAATATGACGCTACCACTGGCAGCCAGTTAGCTTAAAGACTGGAAACAAATGGAAACAGCTAGCCTGACTAGAGTTACAAAATCTGCCTACCAGCACGTCTAAAGCTCAGTAATGAACTGGTTACTGGTCTCTGTGAAGAAAGAGGCTAGTCCAGCACATAGTTGTCATTTTTACTCTAAACAAAGGAGATACAACTTGTGAGCTTCAGATGTGCTTTTAGGTGGATTTTGTTAGCACTGGACAGAGCCAGACTAACCGTTTCCGGTCTTTGTGATAAACTAAGCTAAGCCTTTGCTGGCTGTAGCCTTACATTTAATGGATAGATATGAGAGTGACATTCAACTTATTATCTAACTCTCTGCCAAAGCCAATAAGCAAGGGATGGGAATCAATTTTAAAATGGGATAAAAGCCATAACAACTTATTTCTGCATAACCAAAATCAGAGTAAAGACATCTGTGGCATTATGGCCATGTTCTTACATTTCTAATGTTTGTGTTTGGCCAGATGGGGAGGAACCCCATCCAGAATGTTGGTTGCTATGGGATCCTCAAGTCTGTACAGGAAAACCCTAATTCAGCCTTGGAGGCATTAGACTTTTCGGTAACTTGCACATGTTCCACCTCTGTGAGACTTTCTGCAAATCTTCTCCTTTATAAAAGTATTCACTTGCTTCTCTATGTATCACTCTCTCTAGGACATCACAGTGAACCAGGATTTTGAAGACTTGTACGTGGCAGTGAAAGAAATTTTCCCTGTGCTTACAGTGAATCACGGGGGCAGAATTGGCACATTCAGAAAAGCAAAAGCTTGAAAAGTGTTTTTGTGTAACTTGTGTTAAAAAAGTGTAATTGCTGTTATTTTATGCCAGAAGAGATGGAAGGAGTCTTGTCAAAGCCCTGTGGATGTTTTCATCGACAGATGAACACAAGGATGGATGCATGCAAGGATATTATCCTAAAAAGATTATTTAAAAAAAAGAGCCACCATAGAATATTTATTTGAATTAAATGTACTTAGATCAAATAAAACTTGTTAAATGCCCAATCAATTGAAAATAAATATGGGGAAAAAAGTTCATTTTTCAAAAGAAACAATACATACACTGCTTGTGTGCGCCCCTGAAATATAATGTTCTTGTTGAATGTTATAAAGTCATTGAACACAGGCATACAATACAGGTATTGAGTCTGATTTTTTTTAGGTATGATCTGATTTGATGTTATATAATGTCAGTGGGTAGAATGATGGAGAGGATCAGAGAGCACCGCATTGTGTATGAAAAGAAGTGAAAGTGGGTTGCACAAAAAGGATTTAAGTACTGCATGACTAGTCTAATAGCAAAACCAGCTTTGAAAGAACGGTCCACTATTAGATAAGAGACCTGTTTACTGCAGCAGGACAACTCAAACAGTGTTAGGTACAGTAAGCTGTCATTTGGAGATGTGTATCTCTCCCACACTTCCCCCCAAAATGATCTCCAACCCATGTTATTTCATAATATTCACCAAAGAAACACCTAAAATATCTATTAATATTACTTAAATGTATTAGCATGAGAGACAATATTCAAAGGAAGGCTTTGAGAAGAAAATATTGCACTTTTTACTCCACCACCTGGCTGTAGTTGTAGTTCCTTTGTAGAGAATGTGTTTAAGCAAAATAGCATCAACTGGACCAGAACTATAGTTACAATAATTCAGATAATAAATTCAGTAATTTAGATCAAGTATGTTACTTAAGTATGAAAAGTAAAAGTACTCAACACAAAGAAAGAAAAATGTCTGCTGTGACTGGTACACTGTTATATATCATTTGATTATTATTACTCATGCATTCATGTAAAAGCAGGATTTTACTGTTGTACCTGGTTGGGGTTGGAGGTGTTTCAAGTCAGGAAATAGTGAGAAATGTCATCACAATTGCCAAAAGTCCAGACCTCAAAATTATTACAAATAAATCAGAATGATTAACAATAAAAGCAGCAAATCCTCACCACTGTGAAGCTGGAGCCATGAAATGTTTGCATGAAAAATAACTTATCAGAATAGTTGCCAATTGATTTTCAAGTTTATTGACTAACTGATTAATTGACTCGTTTTTGTTGAACTTATAATAAAACATCATATCATAGAAGTAAAAAGTGGCCTGAAAAGAAAAGACTGAAATAAAGTACCTCAGTTTTGTACTTGTGAATGTAATGTGTTACATTCCATTATTATAAATACATAATGAGTAAACTTTATGTTGAATTCATTATTATTATTATTATTATTATTATTATTATTATTATGTTGTTGTTGTTGTTGTTGCTGTTTGGTTTTTATAAACATAACATACATAAAGACATAAAATATACAAATAATTACACAGATATCCAAAGCATTAAGTAGCCTATGAGCTAATTATTATAATAAAATAAAATATAGATGTTATGCATACAATTGCTAGTTAAATTGTCTAATATCTTTCATTCTATTCAATTCCTAATTCTAACTACGTCTTTCGGCAACGTGTCAATGTTGATCTCATTATCATTGAAAGGCTCACTCAACTAATCAGGTCTGATCGATTGTGCGCATTGATCACTGCGTACTGCGTCACAGAGTCACGCGTGTGTTTTTAAACCTGCGGCGGGCTAACTTATGATTGTCCGTCAAAACATCCCCGATAGGGAGGTAAACATTAACCAGACCTGTGTGTTTGCGTATCGAGAAGAGTTTTTACTTTACAGAGGAACATGGCGACGACCAGTTCTGTGCGGTCTAAGGGACAGATGTTGTACAGGTATTCTGTGAATCTGCACCAATCCTCGACCAGGTAAAGACGTTTTTAACGTAATTACGTTATTAAACGTTGTGCGTGACGTTATGTTTGATTTCCTGAAGGCTAACGGGACATTTTGAGATCTCCTTTGGCTATTAAACTAGAAATAACTTGTAATCATTTTGTTTGTTAGCTATGAGTTTAACTTAACTAAAACTCAATAAAAATACTTTAATGAGTTTTTTATATGTTTGCTAATGGAACATTAGACCAAACTTTAGCAGGCTTTTTTTCCCCCAGCCAGTATTCTGTTAGCCCGGTGACTCCATATGTTATGTTTTTCTTTATTCAAGTGTAATGCATTATATTGTCCAAATACTAATGTAAATAATTATGATTTACATTATGTTTCAAGAATACCTTTACGTAAGACACCTGGGTCATAATTAACAAAAAAACAAGCAGGCACATTTCCAAACCAGCTTTAATCATTTGTTGAACGTCTGAACTTTGTCCTGTAAAGCTCCACTAAATGCAACTACCACTTGTTAACAACTTATCTGTGCCTTCACACTGCGTTGGTTTCCTCTGAGGCTGACTGTATTCAAAAGCAAGTTATTGGCTTGAATACTACTTTGTTGTTTTTGAGAGAGAGCCATGGGGAATTCATTTCTAATTATAGTTCCAAATTAAAGCCATTGGCCCATAAGGTTATTAAAAGAGAGTCTCACTGACCTTGAAAGTTTGTGGATTTTAGAATAATAAAATAAAGTCTTTGAAAGTATTTGTGAATTAACAGCAGCCTTGGAAGTGCTACATAAGTAAACATGCACAATATAGTTCCCTAATCCATAAGTGGGCACATACCAGCTATTCTCTTTGGGCTGTTCAGCACTTCACATCCCCGTGAGAAATCCTGAAATTGAGGTTAATGTTGACATTTAAGCAGCTTTAAAATGGTTTTAGAATAATGACGAAACTATGAGTGTATAAAAAGCTATGAAAGTCATTAAAATGTCCTTGCATTTGATGTCCAGCTGAGTGTGGGAGCTTTGTGAACATATTTTGTGAAGCAGCTGACAATTTTCCTCCTGAATTCATTGACACATTTTATTAATGAATATTTGCTTCAAATTTGTTGTTTTTATGTCTTGACTTTAGGCTATGGTTTTATTTTAATTTTACAGTGTCACCCTCACATTTTGAAAAGACAAGCTGTATGTAACTCATTTTTTGGCTTTTTCTTGTGATTTTCCATCCATAAATAATTCAGTTTTACCCTAGTAATGGCATTACTGGTTAGAATAACATGTTTGCTTTAATGACAGTGTTACAGTCATTCCAGGTTCACCTTATTTGGAACAGTCTGAACACACAACAGATCCAAGTCAGATTCAAGGCTCTCTGACTTTGTTAGTTATTCCCGTTCAAATACTTATTGGAGCCTTTTTGATTGTAACAATAGTTCTTAAAGTGAATAATATTCCCCTTTTTATTCACTCCAGAGTGGGTGAAAAGAAATTTTATTGTGAAGACACAATTTCAGCCCACTCACTCATACAGTATGCATGTTTTTCATATCAAAGAATATTAGCATGACTATCTTTTAGCCCATATGTCACGCACATCTCCATGTTCCTTTTTAAATTTGTCTTTTTTACATCGATAACTTCTCTGTTTTATGTTGTTACTTTGAGCCTTTGTGAAACTTTCTTTCATCTTGTTTCTGTGTAGGAGGTTTTCAGAGAGCAGTGACAAAGGCTGGTTCCGTTCCTTATTTGTGCACAAAGTCGATGCCAGAAAAGATGCCCACTCCAACCTGCTGTCAAAGAAAGAGACCAGCAACCTGTATAAAATTCAATGTAGGCCTAAGATCTTTTACTTACAAGAGAAGTTTTATGTTCTTTAAGCGGGGGGGTTGCAGAGGGCCAGACACAAGTGAATGTGATACAGTTACATTGTATTATAATGAAATGGATTCTATTTTGAGTCTTAACAGTCCATCATCTATTTGTCCCAGCAGAAAATGGCTAAATAAATCATGTTCATTTAATTCAATCCATACTGGCCTCAGTGACCTCAGAGGAAACTGAAAGTAACATGAGAGAGCAGCACAGGATTGCACTGTAACAACTTATCATACATGTGCGACATAGAGGCAGCAACAAGTCATTCTGTAATAGTGTGACGTACCACGTTTGTAAGGTTTTGTAAGCGACATCAAAACAATTTGTCTGGTTTTCTTTTGAGACAGTGGTGATAACTGTGTCTGTCTCTTGTAGAGAAATCTATCATCCTCCCCACGCTTTGATCTTTTTGTGCCGTGCATCTCACCATGTAGGGATTTCAATTTGAACACTATCAGCCGTAGCCTATAACCTATTGAAAGCAAATCTGTTTTGTATATAGAAGTCTTTGCTGAATCGGAGTGTGAAATTACTTTGTTGAAGAATTTGATTGTTGCTTGTATTTAAAAAAAAAAAAAAAAAAAAAACACCCATTTTTGATAAGTCTGGCTCTCTCTTTTCAGTTCATAACGTCAAACCAGAGTGCCTGGAAGCATACAACAGTCTAGAGTGAGTGTGTCACAGCTTTAAAACATTAACTCCACCATCAAGTTATGTCTTCAGTCCTTTGCTTCTTTAATTTGGTTCACAAGATTAACTTTATCCTTATTAGGAATCTAAAACTAAAAGTAAAATGAATGTCTTTGGGTGTACTGTTGTGTACATGCTCTCTAAGTGCCTTGTAATATTATAACTTTTGGCACATTCACACAATCAGTTTATGAAGAAGTTTTCTTTTATGCCGACCTCAGGGCTGAGGTGCAAACCAGGCTCCATCAGGACCAGGACTACCCATGTGAGGTGGTTGGAAGCTGGAATACCTGGTACGGAGAACAGGACCAAGCTGGTAAGCAGCAGTGAAACAGAAAAGCTGATGAAAAAATGATGAAAAGTGTCACCTTTTATTGATCACAGTCACTGTTCGCACCGAGCACTGGATTCATTTTTCCGTTTCAAGGCCTCATGAACGACACCACTTATTTTGAGTGGCTGCAGTTTGGCTGTAAATTGTTTGGCAGAGCATCACAGAAAAATGTACAGACACTACCGGATGACTCACCGCTAACACCTCTCATTCTACATATGATAATTTACAGTGTATAGTATACATTAAGAGCACTGAACGACAGCACAAAGTGTTCACATGGCGATGGACATACTGTATCTCTTGGTTGTGTGGGTGGCATCAGTCCTCACACAGTGCTACAGTGACATCTGCTGTTCTGTTTTTGCAGTGCATCTATGGCGATACAGAGGAGGCTACCCAGCCTTGACTGAATGCCTGAAGAAACTGAACAATAACAAGGTTGACTGCTCTTTCTTTGAACTTTAAACATTGATTTAAGTTTTATCTTGACTCTGCTGAAAATTACTTCACGCTTAGGTATCTTTATATATTCCTTTTCTTCATTAATAACATTTTCTCTTTCTAATTTAGGAATATTTAGAGTTTCGGAAAGAGAGGGCGAAAATGTTGATTTCAAGGCGAAATCAGCTCCTCCTGGAGTTCAGTTTCTGGAATGAACCCTCTCCCAGGCCAGGACCCAGCATTTATGAAATGCGCACCTATCACCTAAAGGTATCCTCATACTGTACATTATACAAATTAACAATGCGTGATCATTCCATATGTTTTATTTGAAACTATTTTTATTTAAGCGTTGTGTACTTTCATTTAAATATAATCCAAATGTATTGCCTTTCTACATATTTAGACCACAAAATGACATACAGTTGCAAACTAAATTATTCAAGTAAGAAGTATGTAAGGGTTTACACATTAAATGTTTTCACAAGATCTATATTTTTTTATAAATTATGTTTGAGTTTAGTCAATTGATCATTAAAATGTGTAGTGTAATGAAAAGTGGATCTGAAGATATTAGGATAGGCCTGTTACAGCTTAGTTGCTTTATGGAACATGGTTTATGGTTTAACTAGTGGAATCATTTATTGGAGATCAAGGTTAAAGGATGTTTGACAAAATATTGACATTGGGATTGAATCATTTTTGCTTATGGGCCTTTTTTGGAGAATATTTTATGTTTACTAGTAGTAACCTTAACATTATGTTTTTAGAAATCACTCAAATATGTATTATTAAACTTTGTTTGACTGTTTACCAAGGTTTTAGTTGATATGTTTTAATTACATGTTATTCACATCATATCATTTTTCCAGATTAAGGGGGCTGAATATTTTTGCAACTGTATGTAATACAACATTTTGTACCCATCAACTGAATGTGGGGACCATATTGTTTAGATTAAGGAGCCAGCATTTTTAATAATGAAAAGGTTGACTTTAAAACTGTCTGTCTGACTGTCCATGCCAGTTTAGTTAGGTTAGTAGAGTTTTGTTCATGTGGTCATATACTCAGCACTACCAGCTCAGCTTAGATCAGCTACTGACTGGATGCATTTTGACTGCTTTATTTTTGGTAAACAAGACACTGCAGTGCACATTAACACCAAGAGTTTGGCTATTATTATGTCTGGTCATACTGTTTCCCTTCTTGCCCATTCTAATATTCTACTAAGGCTGCCTATGTGCTTTACAGTTAATTATTCATAGTTGACTCATTGTATTGAGGAATAAACTGTCCACAAATGGCAAGGTGCACCTAACAGAGTGGCTAAAAACACAGCTATGATTAAATCTGTGTGCAACACTGAAGTCTTCCTGCATGTGGGCTCATGTGGCACATAGACTTTGTTCTGGTTTAAATAAACAAGCCTCAAATGTGCTGTTAAACTGGTTTGACTGTGGGATTTTGACTGATTAGGCTGTGTGTGTACATGTTAAAGAACTGTGCTGTGTGAAGGGGTAATGGTGCAATTCATTGTCATATCTTTTCTTTTAAACCTAAACTTTTACCTCCTAACGTGTTTCAGACAGGAACTATGATTGAATGGGGAAACCACTGGTAAGGCTCAACAAGATTAATTTGCTTAAATATAAATAAACAATATCAGTTCCCTGTACTTTTTCCAGTGTAAGCATCAAGTATTACAGGTATTCAGGTGATCATTATAGCCCTGAAAATAAAATGTCTTACAACAGGGCGAGGGCCATCAAATACAGACAGGAAAACAACGAAGCAGTGGGCGGGTTCTTCTCACAGATTGGCGACCTGTATGTTGTTCATCATTTGTGGGGTGAGTATGTAACATCATCTTACAGATATTGTTTTGGCTGTTTGGGGGCAAGGGCAAGCTATGGTACCTCTCTCAACAGAAATGGTAGCTAAACAAGCTCTGAATCTGTACAGGCAGGTGTGTTAAAACTGGTGGAAAATGATGTTCTATTGTCTTGTTTAAAGTTCATGTAATACTGGGGGTTGGAAGAAGGTGATAATTGCAGTACTTACTGAAGCAGAAACACAGCATTTATTTTCCCCTAAAGGTTGCATGACGTGTTTGCGTTTGTAATCTATCTATAATTTTGTCATCCTGATTGCAATTTTACTATGTTGGTTTATTCTGTACCAACAACATCTATTGTGTGTCTGTGGCAGATTTGACTCACATTGCCAAAAAATAAATTTAGAACAACATGACAATGTAAAGATCCAGTGTGTAAGATTTAGTGGCATCTAGTGGTGTAGTTGCAGATCGCAATTCAGTCCCTCCAGCCTCCCCTTCCAAGCACGAAGGAGAAACTACGGTGGCCGCGAAATGGACAAAAAACGTGAATGCCCCTATCTAGTGCCAGTGTTTGGGTTCACGGTTCTGGGCTAGTGTACAAACATAATGGTTCAAAGCGGTGGCCTTCACAAAAGGGAGACCCGTGGTGTCTGTACATTAAAAATGGCTAATTCTAAAATCTTTGACCCGTGTCTCAGTGATGTTGTAATCAAGCCAACACTGTGAATTTCTGTCCCATTAGTTGGAGAATATCGCAAGGTATCTGACTGTACCTACCACAGAAAGATGTGGTTGTTGTCATATGCTTCAAGAGTAGCAGGATGACTGACCTATGCATAAATGATAGCCCCTGATCTACAAAATATGCATGTTAATGCATCCCTTCTATAGTGAGATAACTATATAAAGCCTATTTAGATATAGATAAATGAGTTTAATCGCAGCAATTTTAAGGGATTTTATATAACTTTCCAAAATGTACAGTAACAAAAACAAAAATCAACTGTTTAAACGGAGAAACCCCACAGTTCTGTGGGGCTTGGACATAGAAATCTAATCTAATCTAAAAAAGGAGGAAAGTGTGTTTGTATGTTTGTTGACTCCCGGTACTAAGGTTTAACACAAGCAATTATATTATTCTGCTTCCATAGTGACTCTGTCCCTGAAAATTATTTGTACAGATAAAACTCCATTTGTCCTCTAAATGAGAGTGTCATAAAGTCATTCACCCCTAATATAATATATGGTTTTGTTACTTGTGTTTACAGCTTATGAAAGCCTTCAGTCCCGCAATGAGACCAGGAACTCTGCCTGGCTTAAGGAGGGATGGGATGTAAATGTATATTATACAGGTAGGAGAGAGAGATGCAAACTAACCACACATGCATTTGCAAGGAAAAAAAATATCTACCACTAACCTCACTGATAAGATGACAATTACAGGACAATATATAACAATGTATATTTAATATACAATTAAGTATTTTCTCTGAAATGTTATGCTTTGTTGGTGAAAAAGGAAGTGGTTTTGCCTAAAGTCTGTTTCCATTTAGATCAAATCAGTGATTGAAGTTGATATTTAACTTCATCGGGTGCAATAAGGATTGTTGCCTCAAAATGATAGAGATAAGATGGCAACAGCAACACAATAGGAAAGAGTTCAGACAGACAACTTGTATATTGAAATATATAGTTTACCAGACTCTCCTTGAGAAGCATATTGAGTAACACATGAGAGCATAGGAAGAGATCAGTGCAGATCCCCCTCAGGGACCAAAGAGAAGAGAACCCACAGGGTGGTTGCTGAGGAGGTGGAGGGAGCAAACACAAATTCATTTATCAAGAGCAGTCTTGTAGCGTCAGTAGCCGTGAGCAAGTAAGCAGTTATACAATATGAGTTTGCATTTTAGGGAGGAGCTTTCTTGACTAAACATACATCCAGGGAATGGTGTTGCAGTGCCACACAGGCTTGGCTTTATTGATGGTAAATTGTTCTGTGTCAGCTCATAAAGACACATTCATAGCTAGATAGATGTTTCAGCAACATAAAAGTATATACGTGGGACTGTAAAACATGTTAAGCTTAATGAAAACTGAACATTCTAATGAATATATTGATTAATTTAAACTCTACTTTGACAAACTGTGTGGAATAATGTACATATCCTGATTAATTTTGAATCATGGGGTAAAGTTGCAACTTTACACGTTTACAGATATTTGTATGCTTCTGTCCATGATCTTTGAGTTAAACCTTTTTAACATGTTTCTCCCATTTTCTCCTTAGTGCCTTTGATCAGAAGCATGGCTTCTAGAATAATGATTCCCACCCAGAGTTCACCTTTGCAATAAGAAGATGAATGCAACTGGGAGCCTCTCTGACTAAAACTCACCTACTGCCAGACGACGTGTAGATTTTTTTTTTAATCTGCTGGAGGATCTGTGTTACATTCAAGTATGTAAACAAAAACATTTTCTGATGGTATGTTTGCAGCGGTCAGCCAGTCTTTACAATTAGTAATGCAGGGTTTCAGTGCATACTTTGAGAATCCTGAAAAGCCCTTGTTTAGGTCAAATATGTGCAAAAAAGCAATGACAAACCGACACAATGAAATGCCAGATTATATGTTTTGCATTACTTGCATGTGTATTACACTGTAGAGTGATAATTACATGACTGTGTTGAGCTAGGTATGGTATGTTTCCTGCTTTTTGTTTATACCATGAGTTATGGTAACGGACGGTGTATTTGTTTTTCACAATGAAGGAATAGTCTCCACCCAGCCTTTTATGGGTGCACTTTTATGACCAGATATATATCACTCTGAATTAGATCACAGTGAGCTTCACAACTGTCACTGTGAAATTCATGTTTGATTTAACAAAAAAAAATCGGACTACCTCAATCATTAAAATATCCAAATTTTGCTGATTCAAAAAATTCTAATTTACAGTAATGTGTAAAGAGCCTAAGAGGAGCGACTGTGTAACTTCTGGTATGAAGTGGTCAGTATTTTCAAAATAAAAGTTGAGTAACACACAGCAGTGTGGTCAGTGGTCGTTACAATTCACAGAACCAAGGTTACAAAGACAAAGAGAGGAAACTGGATCTTGGGACTTTCAGATATATGAATACAAGGTTTTAAGCTATCCTTGTGATTGTAAATTAACTTTGAAAACAGGTTTTACCCCTGTGTTGTAAATGGTTAGAGTCTGGTACACTTCTCATGAAATTATGATAATAAAATCAGTTTGGTAGGAAAATCCTCCATGCGCAGAGCATGTTTGACATTTCCAGAAGAAGAAGCATGAGCTGTTTAAATAAATACTGAGAAGTGGTTGAACTGACAAATAAGCACCAGGAAGAGGATGACAGGACTGACTAATTAAATTAAACAATGTGTAGGTCAAGCCCATAAAAGTGAAGAATATCCTAATCCAAATATACAACATCGACCATTATTTTATTTTGTCCAGAAAATGATCAAAAGTATGCGGACAATTGAGCTTCATTATTATATTATTACACCTATATGTTAATATATAACACCTCATACCAAAACTATGGTTAATAATCTGCTGCTAGAACCGCCTCCACTCTGTTGTGAAGGATTTCCACCAGACTTGAACCTGGTTGCAGGGATTTCATTGAGTTCTGCTACAAGAAGATTTGGCTTCTGGTGGTTGGCTACTGATGTTGGGGCAGTTAGTCTTGGCTCGTAGTCGGTGAGGCGGTTTACCCCAGAGGTGTTGGATGGGATTGAAGTCAGGACTCTGTGCAGGCCAATCAAGTTCTTCTACACCAAACTCATCAAACCATTTCTTTATGGGTCTTGCTTTGTACACAGAGGGATAGTTTCACTGAAACAGTAAAGGGCCTTCCCCAAACTACTGATGCAAAGCTGAGTAAGTAAAAATCATGTGACATAAAGAATAATTAAGAATAAAGAATAATAATAATAGAGAACTATCACTCCTTGACTGAACTGTTGCCAAACCAAAGACACAAGTAGATGCGGATTCATATTTAGAGGTCACAAGCGAAAAAGGGCCTAAATCAGTGGCCTAAAATATCACTGTATGCTTTTGCATTAAAGGAATGTGCTTCTTTGCTTTCTTACAGAGTTAGATATAAATATCTATACCACTCTCATATCTGTCACTAATATTACTTCCTAAAGAAAGTCACATTACATTAGAAAGTCTGCCATCCCCTAGTGTAGCTCAAACAATGAAAAACAGCTTCGGCTTTGGGCAAGAAAGTCTACAAATGTACATGTGCCCATATTTTTGGCCTTGCTTTAATTTTAAGGTTTAAAACAGCTAAACCGGAACTTGACTTTGTGCTGGTACCTTCACACTTGACCGCATTCTGCTTGCGAGAGACATTTAAAACCATAAACCTGTAGCTTTAAGAGGAGGGGGCGTGTCGTTCGTGGGGCTGTCCCTTTTATTTGAATATACAGTAGTTCAGCGGGTCTGGAGTCGGATTGCGTCGGATGTTTTTTCGGCTTGTGAGCCGAGCACAGCGGGACGTGGTGGTTGTACTCGTCGGCAATGCTCATCATCCAGGCCTATATTTAACATTTGAATGATATCACTCAGGCGTTTTTCTCCGCCGCATGCACACACACACACACACACACACACACACACACACACACACACACACACACACAGAGGAGTCTGCACCGCACGCCAGCGACAATATGGACTTGCATATATTGGACCACAGGCTACGGGTCACCAGCATATCCAAGAATGGACTGGTGAATTTCACACATCCCCTGATTAAACTGATATTTCTCCGGAACAGGACACGGTAAGAGGACTCGGTGATCGGGGTCAGATGTTTGTGTCGCTCCGGTGTGAGCCTGGTAATCCAGTACGGATATATGAGATAACCTACAGCGCCTCTTCATTCAGTGGGTGGCCGAGCCATTATTTGCCTGTGCATGCCCTGCTATGCCTCCATGAATCATATACTGCAGTGCATGTAGCTGTAGGTAATTACAACAGTTTATGATTTATATTTAGAAATCAACGTTTGAATAATGCACATCAACCAAAATATATCATATTTTGGGGACGTGTTCTTACAATGGTGATGCAACTGCATCTGTTATGTTTCCTAATAATAACATTATACATGCACAAAAATCTGCTGCAGTTAAGTTAACACAGCATTCTCATATTTCAACATGCATTTGTGTTATAGTCCTGTTAAATGCATGCATGAATGCCTCTTAATGCATGCTGCTTCTACTGAACATAGCCAGCACTGATCAAACATTTTAAAAAGCATGCACTGTTCCTCCACTGCATTTTAGTGGGACCTTGTTTCTCCAGCACAAACTCCACCTCTAACCTCCTTGTACTCAAACCCAGCATCCAGTTTGCAAGCTGTCCGGATCTCATGTTGGCATTAGTACCAGTTTTCAGTTAATCCCTGGATATCCTCTCATTGTTATGCAATTGTTTATTGCTCTGGCTGCCCCACATATGCATGGCTCGAAGAAGAACTCAACATCTGTCTTCAAGCTGCCCATGATATAGGCCAGGCGGTGGCTCAGCTACTGCTCACATGTCAAGTTACAAAGAATTTGTAAGCAAATGTCAGGGAAGATTTTCCTCCTCTGATCGTCTTTGTGCTCTGTGACGTCTGAAGTATAGCTATCATCACACTGTCCTCGAGGATTTGCTTATCGTAAGCATCCAATGAGTATCAGCAACAGAACAGACCTTTAATAATCAGTTCAGCAGACAACAGGATGAGTACATGTCTGCATGAGTGGGCAGTGATCCTGCTAAACACTTTTCTCGTCAACTGACATGGAGAAATTAGATTTTAATCTTGTATAGTTTTCTGTCAAACACTTTATATCCTTTCAGGCCTATGGCTGCATCCACCAGCACTAATTTGTCTCAGAGTATTGGGCAATAAAGTAGGTTTTAACATGTCCATAACAGACGCACAGGTGACTCACACTACCCTTATAAACTACTGTACTGTAAGTAAGTAAATGACAAGTCACTGTGAATAATACACAGATGTACTGCAAGTGCGTCAGTATTTCTGAGGTACAGCCCAACAGGTTAGTGATGAGTAATACTAAGGATCAAGAACTGTGTCCAGATTTACAGTCAGTAACTGTGAGCCTGCATTTTCAACAGGCTCTTTGAAGTATCATTGTTGGGAAAAAAAGTAGGCTGAGCCCAGAATGAACCAGATAAAGCATGCAGGCTGCATTTCCTTGGATTAGCAGGCCTGTCTGTTTTTCAGTGTTTTGTTGTGCATACTTTGGAGTTATGTCATAGTACTGTGGTGTGGATATATTTTTGCCTCGTTTTTCCTGTTCTTTTTCTGTTGCTTATTTTCGTTTTGTTTTGTTTTCCTCTGGTCAAACTATAGACAATGCATGCTTGGGAGTGGTGGAGAAGATTGAGTTCATGGCAACTCAAAACAACCGTGGAGCAAAAACAAGCCTGATTGCCTCGTCTGGTTTTAGCCATCTCCCTCTTTAGGCCCCTGCTATTCATTAGAGGACCAACAAATGCACACAAAGTGATTTGAAAGCCGTCCTGAGCAGAATTTTAAGGAGCTAATCACTTCTAGGAGCCAGGCTGATCCCATATTGTATGAATGTATATTTTCCTCCAACATCATCCAACACAACTGAGGCATTGAGAAGTAGAAAGTAGTTGAGAGACTTGTCTAGAAATAAAAACCCTTATTTGATGAGGCGCAGCATGCCTTCTATCAGTGACACTGTTGATCTGTGAAGGTCAGCAATGTCTATAGTTATCGAGACTTTATGTTGTTAATAGGGTAAAGATCAGATGCCCTCAAAAGTAAGGATGGTTTGATTTAGGTCAGGTTGGGTTTAGTATAAGGTTCTGACAATGAAGAGTAGGAATGTGCTAAAGGATGAGTGTGTCTGTGTGTGTGTGTGTGTGTGTGTGTGTCTCTTCATGCACTCTTTTAAAAAAGCGTCTGCATCAGCCTGTACTGTTAACACAGACGGATGTGAATGAATCCTCCCACGATGGGCGAAAAAATATTATTATATCGTCCATAGTTGTTTAGTTTGGAGTTTCTGGGCGTGGTAATAATCATAGCCCAGTATCAGCCCAATATATTAGTCTTCCTACTGTACTGTGGATGCAGTCCTGCGGGCTCCACACAGTCCTCCTTTCTTCTCTTCAGCAGCTCACTAACGAGAGCATGGGTTGGAACAATGCGTCAGCTGAGCCAGAAACCCAGTGGGGAGTTTTCCACTTGTCTGCTTCAGTGATCTGTCAGGGCTGGGGCTTTCACTCCCCTTGTTTACACAAGCAGGGATGTCTAGAAAAAACCTTCCCCATTGTTCTGAAAAAAGAGGAGCCTGTGAGAACGCTGTACATCGGTTTGTAGGTAGCTGCGGAAGTAGCAGACAGCTTGGTCGTCCACTGGCGATGGGGCTGAGATTGCTTGGGGCTCCACTCTTATCATGTTTCCTCAGCTGGAGCATCAGTTGCAGAAAACCCACCGCCACCAACCCTAACTCCCTCTCCGCCGCTACCACCCGTTGGTTTGTGCAGCTGGATCAAAGTCCAGACTCTTGTGTGCTTGGTTTTCATCTTCCCCACTTGGCCGCTCCCCCGCTACCTGTTGCTTCCTGGTCTCTTCAGATATTTTCTGTCTCCTCCTTTTCATGTGCCTTCATGCTTCAAGAAGGAGTTTGTTTTTCAAACTCATTACCACCAGTGATAACACAAAGGCAATGTAGCACAGTTACAGAGTTCTGTACAAACATGCTTCTCCAGTTGAATAATAATTAAGTTTATGACTGAATGTCTGAAAATTGTGAAAAAAGCCCTGTGAAACCAGTTCCCAGAGCGCAAATTTAAAGGACTTTAGAGCCACTGTTTGGTTTTTGTCCATTCTGGGCTGCTGTAGAAACATGGTGGCTCAACATGGCGGACTTCATGGAAGGCAACCTGCAATGTCTATAGCTATAAAAGGCTCATTCTAAGGTAACAGAGACATTACAATCTGCATA